GTTCAGCAAAAATGACCAAAAGAGAAGACAGAGGATACTCACACATTTTGCCTTACTAGGGACAGGCTCTATGGCCTTAAAGTCCTTATGAATCCCAGCGTGCGCAGGGCACTTGGGAGTCTCTGGTCCCTCTTCCTCCTCATCAGCCTCTCCCACAGCATCTTCACCAGCCTCTTCCTGACCATCATCCATTGCAAAGTCTTCTCCAGCAGCCTCCTTCTCCTTTCCCTTGCCTTTTTCCTTCAACTGCTTCTCCTCTTCTAAACGCATGCATTCCTTGGCCTGGCATTCAGCCTCAATCTTGAAAGCGTGTATTTGCTTGTGGAAGCGAATGTGCACCTCTTCAGCCTTATGACCCTTCGCACTCTCCTCAGGAGTGAGGGCAAGGCTCAAATTATGGGTCTTGCCGTCCATCAAGCACCTTTCTAAGTCAGCCTGAAAGACCATTAGAAAGGGCAGTAAGTGTGCAAAGGTACAAAAAGCACTCACCAATAGCTTGACCCAATCATGGTACCACTCTTCCTTGTGAGCCATCAGATCAGGTCGATCTTCAGGCATAAGGTCGGCCAAGTTGACCATGCGGGCACATAACTCAGCAAACGCACGCTGGATTCTGTCAGCAGCAGGGTCAATGACATCAGAAAAGTCGAAAGTAAAGGTAGACATGTTATCAATGGTAGAGATGAGAGATAGGAAAAGAAGTAAGAGGAACTTATAGGGAAGCATGATTGTGTCCACACTTCTTCCATTGTCCATGTGAAAATCACCAAACTCCACACTCCACATCTCTATTCAATCTGGAACCGGTCCATGAACTCTACCATACCCAGAATTCCACGGTCATGTGCCCTCATAGATGCAAAAATTCTGCCAAGTCCAAGTCCCAATGTGTGACCGACTGGGGACAGTCAGTATTTGAGTCTCCTGCAGATGTGACAATCATACCAGCACTAGGCACATATGATCAATAGCACAGTTTTTCTCACCTTCAGAAAAAGGAGATAAAGCGCGGATCATTAAATCCATATATATCAACCCATCTGCTCTTACTCCGGTCTCTCACCTTCAGAAAAAGGAGATAAAGTGCGGATCATTAAATCCATATATATCAACCCATCCACTCTTACTCCGGTCCAGTCCTAGGAATCTGCCCTCCCATGTCCTATCCATGTCCACCTATCTCCGCTGGTGCGCTATTTTCCCAAATGTCATTGCTAAACAAGCTGCAGGTCTTATTACACAACTACTCACGTTCCACAGTGCATGATGTTTTATTACCTATAGACTCATTGTGCACTCACTAACTATGCTACAATTCTTGCCTACGCATTCCAGACATTCATGCACTACAATATAAACAACCGCAGTACATACAATGGGGTAGTTTTTTTTCCCCCTGGAATCAGTTCTATAGGAGAGTTGTTCTCACATTATTTTTGTAGACCTTGTGCTATCCATCTATTTTGTTCCTTCCTGACAATCCTGCGCAATTCAACTGTTCTGAAGTCCATACCACTAGGATCTTACCCTTAAAAGCTCTGCAAGAAGACTCAACCCACGACTGGTAGTTTAATGCTGTTCTTCACTCGCGCTATATCCCTTGCGACCAGCTGCTCCATAGAGTGTGGTTGATTTTTGCCTGCGCTCCTGGTTGATTCCTTGGTATAGGAATTCAGAGGTATACCTATGGCCAGTGTTCAAGTTTCTTAGGCCGATATAGATTATAACTCCTTTGCTCACTTACTTCCCTTGCACATAATTGAAGGAAGTGCTTCAATAGCAGTCCTCTCAGGCCGATCAATTAAACTTGCACCTCTTAGGGTAAGAAGTGCTAGTTGCTAACTGCCTAGTACCATTTTCTTCTTCACACCATGAACTTTGAGAATGTCTCAGTAGATAATCCAACTTATCCATGGCTGTCAAAAGCAGTAAGTCTCTCATCCTGTCAGAAAACCAATGCTTACCTTTCATCAAGCATTTTATAACATTGCTTCTTTTCAGCTCTCCATGCATCCCATTTTCTGACTCCCAGAAGAGAGCTGTGCTCAACTGGGCCAAAGAGCTCGGCGCCGTCAATGTCCTGTCACTTGGTGTGATGAAGAAGTGCCATAATTACCTGGATGAGCTTGTTGGCAATCCAACTCAGAAGATGACATCACGTGCTGGTGATGTATTCTATATCAATAATGTCATGGAAGCAATTGCAAAGGTAAATCTAGCATGTCTTTCATGTCTGTTCAACAATGACATTACACTCAGGATTATGTGAATCCACCTACATGTTTTGCAATGTGTGATTATCCTGAGGATGGTGGTGAGGGGATGTCACAGGTCTTTAATGGCTAGAAAATGTTATTCAATCTTCTGTCACCACTGGCAGCACCCTTGGCACCACTTCAAAGAGGTTCTCACAGTCTGTTAGAATGGGTTTCATTGTAAGACAAAACCCATCTAACAGACCTGCCTCTCCTGTGAGGTCCTCAACTAATTCCCTGAGAGGTCTCTTCAATCCTCTCGTACATCTACACTGTTTCATGAGTGCACCAGCTCTCCCTCTCACAGAGGCTTGATCACAGTTCAACAAGCCTCAGATCTTCAGTGGGGGTAGTTATGTTTTTTGTAGCTAATGTGTTACAATGTTATGTCTACAGCAATCCTGCTGTTCGATTTCTGTTTGCACCCTCAGCACTTCAGCTATCCATCCTTCACCTCTTCAGCCACTCATTGAGTCATCTAATACCTGCCCCACTTTCAGTCCACCATCCAAAGCTAAATTGAATGCAAGTTGCTGATCAACCATGGAGTTTTGACCACCAATCATTGTGCTGCCCTCCAGGTCCCTTGGAGTTTACAGCAGCAATTATTTTTCTACAAAGTCAAGTGGGGTCAGAAGCTGCTGCAATGGTGTCAAGGACAGGCTTTGGGTATGTTATCACTATTCGGTAATGTCCTTGGAATACTGACATGCTTTGATAGATAACCAGGGCTTAGCGCCATCCGGACCACACTTTTACAGTCACCGAATTCCATACTCATCCCCCTACTCCCCATACCACCTACTCCCCATTATGCACATCCTACCCATTGACCCACCAGTCTCTTGTTTTTCTTTTGACCTTGAGTCCCCACCTTTCCTCCTCTTGTCTGCCTCTCCTGCCACTCCCATAGCTTGTTCACTCATTGTGAGCTCCTCCATGAACTCTTCATTGCCAGACACTTGGATGTTCAACTTTCACCTGGAGAATGGCGACCCTCCTTCTCTCGGAGTGGGAGATACCATTGTTGTCTACAGAGATGGTTGCCCAAAAATGTTGGCCAGTGGGATGTTCACAGCTACGCCTGCCTTCTCTGGCAGGATCTCTCACATTGCTGGATGGGGCTCATCAACTGTGGATTTTGGAGTTGAACTCAACTCCATCTTGCCTACCCACCCCATGACCATCCAGTTGCCATGGTCACTGTCTCATCTTTCCTTTCTTCAATGGATCTTGGGATGGCTGTTGCCTTACCCCAGGTGTTCTACCCTTGCACAATATCCAAAACTCATCTTGACTTCACCCTGCATCCTCAGCTCATATGAGAGCCAGTTGTCAAGGACACTCAGCAGAGGAAGCTTGTCCTGGGCTCAGAGAAATGTTTAGTGTACATACCTCAAGTTGTGACTCAAAAATCTTATTCTGACATTGGTTGGACTCCAGTAGTCCACACGTCCAGCTGAGTGTCATGCAATTCCTTTTCCTATCAGTCTCCTTCATCGCTACATCATACAACCTGCTCGCTCATTTACACATTCCTCTTGCTTGCTTGCCTATTCTGCCATTGTTCCCGCCCCACATCCTTCGAGCACAGCCACACAATGCTGTCTAGATCTAATGGTCAACAAGGCTTGTGTGGCAGCAGCAGCATTACAACCTTTCACATGGAGTTCTCGCGTTGCATAGTTGTTTGAAGAGTTTAACCTTTCAGTACCTTGTATTACTTGATAGTTCTGACCCCCCTACTATGTATCAGTCAATCACACTCACTACTCATTCAATAAAATGGGAACATCACAGTAGTATGAGATTCAGAGCAGGAGTCAGTAAAGGAAGATCAACTTGGTGCAAAACAGAGGCTTGTGTGGGTCTGAAGAAAAAAACAAATATCACTGGAATTGAACTGGGGAGCAGGGCATTGCAAAGACCACTGCGTGATAACCATAATGCCATGAGTGCTTCCATATATTGCACATCATATGCTATAGAGTATCATAATGTTAACTATGCACCCTCTCAAGTCCCACGAGCTTCTGCAATCAATGGCAATGTCTTATCATGGCCTTCTGCATCTTGCAATCAATGGCGATGGGTTTTATCTGCAATGGTCGTGATCCTCCTCTAACCCCCCACACCTATACATCTTGATCATGGATTTCACCAAACTCAACCATTCCCTCCAATGCATTGCATTGTGGCATTTGCCAGTAGAGACAATGTTGGAAAGGTGGCTGGAGAGGCAGGGGGAAACAAATGATCCTAACGCATGGAGAGAGCTTGATGGCATACCATGTATTGTTGGTGGGCTAGTGGTGTTGCTTGGTAAGTGCTGTGGTTGACATCTGTAATAGAATTATAAAGTCAAAATGTTTGCAGGGAAACTTGAAGTGCCAGGGGGATTCTTTCCATGAAAAAGGCTACCCGCTGAACTAGCCCAACATGGCTATGTCCTCCAACACTATCCTGAAGATGTTCTGATGCCTGGGGAGAAATGTGCCACCCTTGCAAAGAGCAAGGAGATACACAACCTTATGCTTTGTGAGCACTGAATCTTTGCCAATGCCCTCAAGAGCAACCTACTCACTGTCAAATCCATCACTGGCAAAGACACCCATGCAAAGCTCATGGCCTCCCATAGGCCTGTCATCATCAGGGAAGCACCTGCACCTGATTCCAATAACAGCTGTGGTCAGTGTTGGTATGCTAATGGTCTTCTTGATAGGAAGCATCTTCATCGCCTCAAATTCACAGACACCTCTTCTGACACCTCTTCTGACACCTCTTCTGACACCTCCCCTGAGCCATCTCCTGCACCAGTGTCTGATGTGCTGCATCCTCATCCTGGTCCTGCATCACTGGCTTGTGGGTCTTGTACACCACATCCATGTCCTCATCCTTCTCCTTCTCCTGTGCCACATCCTCATCCTGGTCCTGCATTGCTGGCTCGTGGGTCTCGTACACCATGTCCACATCCTTGTCCTTCTCCTGCATCACTGCCTCATCCTGGTCTTGCTCCCATGGCTCTGTCTCCTGCACCATGTCCACAGAGACTAAAGCTATATGTTGAAGTGCTGCTTACCTGACTCTCCTGGCAGTTGGCATTCAATCCAGCACTGCTCCCACTTTTACTGGTAGGTAAACCCAACATCAATGAACTCATCCTGGATATATCCTGCCTTGGGCAGGCTTCACAATATTCTGATGGTGCCACCCATGAGGAAGATGAAGTGGAGGTCAATGAGTTGTTTGGGACCCAGGGAAGTAAAGTTGTGCACTCTGTATAATAGTGTCATCTGCTTTTTTCCAATCGTTCCCCCCATTTAAGTTTTGATACGTACTCTGTGTGCCTCTCATACTGGATTGTTAGGAACTCACAATTGAATTGATCAAGCCTCTCACAATGATGTCCTGACCCTCTTAACAAATGATGCAAACACATGAATTCTGAGTCTTCACCCTAACAAATGATGTCCTGAACTACTGGCTAACCAAAGTAGTGTGAAAATGAATTAAAGGTCTATGACAAGGGTGGTGCAGGGTGAGCGTTTGGAGAGGGTGGGTAGCTCTGGCTCAGGTGGTTGTCGCATGGGTCTTGGTATCTCCTCCAAGGTCCTTGCCTATCCAGATACCCCCTTGTCCTTCCCATATTATCATGGTAGTGAGGGAGCCACTGATGTTCTTTGACTTCATGAGCATACATGTGATCAGGAATGGGGCTATAGCGACTGGGATATACTGGATGAGTATGATCATGCTCTCTGATGTGTGAATCATGGAAGTTTGCAGGATGAAAGTTGTCTTGAGGATGACCACCTTGGTGATAGAAGGTGTCGCATGCATCACAGTCCCAAGGAGATGTATCACACACATATTCACAATGGTGATAGTGAATGGGATCGTGAGGACAGTGAAAGTTGCATGTGTCCAAAGGGTCACAAATATTGCGAGTGTCATACCCACATTCAGTAGGCTCATACCAGCCTCCTGTGTGAATGATAGGCTCATGGGACAGCTCACAGGACTCAAGCTGCAGTTGCTCTGGGAGATCATGTGTGAGAGGTACACGAGGTGCATGCTGGACAGGCTCAGGAGGGTTCTGCATGCTCTCATTGGAGAGGCTTTGGGAAGGGTTGTGGCTATGTGGATCAGTAAGACGATCTGGGAGATTACATGTGAGAGGTACATGAGGTGTGCACTGGACAGGCTCAGGAGGGTTCTGGGGAGGGTTGTGAGGGTCACAGCTACATGAATCAGTGAGATGAGGCTGATGGGGAGCTTCATGTGAAACTTCAGATGATGGTCCAGGCTGAGGGATTTGTGGCTGCACTGGAGCATGATGACTGGCAGCACCATCTGAGTCCTGGTGATCCATCATGTTGTCTTACAATGCATGAGGACCATCTGCAACCTTATTGGTGGGCTCCTCATTGATGTTGTCGTCACCCTCTTCCGACTCATCACTATACATCATGCGATATGTATGATTCTGAGTCCGCTTAGATCCTCATTTGACAGGGAGTGGTTTGACAGGACCATCTCGAAGTCTCTTGGCACATTGAACTGTTCCTGCAGGAGCAAGTGGCTCATCATTTGAAGACAATACAGTCAGTAGTGACAAGGGACCACCCTTTGTGGGAGATAAGTCAGGAGCTGCCAATGGCACAGTTGGTTGGACCTTCTCCTTGCCCTTCACCTTTGCACATTTCTTCCCCACATTGAGCTCCACTTCATCCTCTGCAGATGGTGCTCACCTCTTTGATTTTCGAGGTAGCCTGCTAGCTGCCACCTTCCTCTTTTTCCTGTGAGCTGCATCTTCAAATTCTGTTTCAGGGATTATCTTGGGAGGCTCAGTGTTAGACTCGGAGGTTAGAAATTTGATTGTGGCAGCTGGCAAAGGCCAAGGAACCACTACAAATGGGTGTGTGGGAGGAGGTTTTGACAGTAGATGTTCAGCTGTATCAGCCTGTGATTCCTGTTGCTGAGAAGTCAAGGGCATTTTGTGGGTGTCTCCGGTCTTCTTGGCTTTGGTGGTTGCAGCACTGATCTTCATCCAAGAAGGCCCGTTATAATCTGTATGATGGTTGGCGAACATCTGTCTTGCACCAGAATGAAAGTAGTCGGAAGGAGGTGCTTCACCAGTGATTATGGGGAATTCTGATGCAATGAGCACAGCTAAAATATTGAATTAATGAAAGTGTTGTTGCAGCACCAACGACTTTGAACATACCTCATGACGTTTTCAGTACCTTAGCCACATACATTGTTCCTGCCTTCAGAGCCTCTACAAGTATAAGGACTTCCTTCTGGGTCAGCCCTCTGATACCCTTGCTCTTTGAGTTGACATTGTGGTATTCCCCAGGTAAGAGACATTTGTGTGCTGGATATCCCTTAATGCAAAAGTTTTTGTTTGTGAGTGCACTGGGCATCATGATCCATGGGAAGTTTTTGAAAGATATGAACTTTCCATCCAGATTATCTAGTGTAGCCATTTAGTCAAACACAGTATAAAGAACATCCAAAAAAAAGACTAACTGACTTGTCAGCTGAGTTCCTGCTTGAGCCACTTGAGCGAATCCTCTCAACCCCTGCTAAGTTGATTCTCGGAGGTGTCATCCTTGAAGGATGACACAGCATCTACATCACATATGTTGTCTTTGGCCTCCTTGAATGCATCCTCAACCACTGATAGTGATGTTTCATTGCTGTTGAAAGTGATCAACATGCGAAGTGAGTAGAGTGATGCTGACTGAGACCTACAATACAGTAAGCAACAAAACTGTTGCAATGTTTGTATGAGATTGATTACTCTGGCTATATCATTACAGGGATGGCAGCTATGCAAATGTGGATGAGAGCAATATTGTAGCCCTACATCCAGGCTACAATAATTGTACTACACTGGAGATGTGAAAACATTTCCTTAAAAGGATATAAGCAATTTACTACATGGTATGCATTGCAATGGTTTTGTTGCTGATATTTTTAAACATCAAAATCCTATCAATAGACATCAGTTATGTTATTTAGTATGTCTTATAATGTTATGTGACGTGTAAAATGGTCAATGTGATATAAACAAAGCCAAATGGTGAACTTTCTCAACATTCATCATCATGAAAGCCCTCTCTGCTGACAAAACCAACCAAATCCTTTTTTACCTTGATTTTAACCAATCTACAAGGGAGATCTCACATGCTACTAGTGTACACCATAGTACCATTATCAGAATTCACTCAGAACTTCATTCTGACCTTCAAAAGTCCTCTGGTGGTTGTCCTTCTGTCCTTTCCTCTCCCAATATTCAGCATGCTATTTGGACAATCAGTACAGACAAGGCTAAAAATGTCACTCAAGTCACAAGAGCACTTCAGGATATCAAGAACCAGCCTATGTCCTCTCAAACAACCCATCATTACTTGATGAAATCTGGTATGAAGCTTGTAGTGAAGCAAATACACCCTCTTATCTCCTGCTAGCATGATACTCAGGCCCTCTCCTGTCCTTTTCCAAGCCTATTGCCTTTCATCTGGCCCCAAATAATTGATTTTGGTTTCATATGACCATATGACTCTTTTCAAGTCATCTATTATCCAGTGCTGGTGACTGATAGCAAAGTATAGTCTTACTCTCCTATGACACTTGGATAGGAGAGGGTGTATTTGCTTCACTACAAGCTTCATACCAGATTTCATCAAGTAATGATGGGTTGTTTGAGAGGACATAGGCTGGTTCTTGATATCCTGAAGTGCTCTTGTGACTTGAGTGACATTTTTAGCCTTGTCTGTACTGATTGTCCAAATAGCATGCTGAATATTGGGAGAGGAAAGGACAGAAGGACAACCACCAGAGGACTTTTGAAGGTCAGAATGAAGTTCTGAGTGAATTCTGATAATGGTACTATGGTGTACACTAGTAGCATGTGAGATCTCCCTTGTAGATTGGTTAAAATCAAGGTAAAAAAGGATTTGGTTGGTTTTGTCAGCAGAGAGGGCTTTCATGATGATGAATGTTGAGAAAGTTCACCATTTGGCTTTGTTTATATCACATTGACCATTTTACACGTCACATAACATTATAAGACATACTAAATAACATAACTGATGTCTATTGATAGGATTTTGATGTTTAAAAATATCAGCAACAAAACCATTGCAATGCATACCATGTAGTAAATTGCTTATATCCTTTTAAGGAAATGTTTTCACATCTCCAGTGTAGTACAATTATTGTAGCCTGGATGTAGGGCTACAATATTGCTCTCATCCACATTTGCATAGCTGCCATCCCTGTAATGATATAGCCAGAGTAATCAATCTCATACAAACATTGCAACAGTTTTGTTGCTTACTGTACATGAGCTTTCAGGTGTCCAATGATGGTATTGTGGTTGGCACAGCAGTGCATCTCAAAGAACTGATAGAATCATTTAATAAACATGAGTTCAAGTTTGCTGGCAGCGACTTACCCCTGCAGCAGCTGGCATTGTATGTACATGACCTAGAGAGGTGTCCTGGTTGACTATGTTGCCACACAATACAATAGCTGACTCAAAACCAAATCTCATTGTAGTGGAATCGAGCTAAGGTCAATGTTAGCTAGCTCTCAATCCTCACAATGAGATGCCATACCAAGCTTGCCACTCATCTATAGAGCTTCTGGAAGGACTGAAGATGCTGATTGAGAGTTGAAGCAGCACCTATGTAATGCACTTTGCTATATGCACTGAGAATATCCTGGTAGTCATTGGGGAATGCCTCCTTGAATTTTTCATAGCAGAGTCTTCACACAGCCATACCTGGATGATAAGTCAGACAACGACAGACTACATATCTATGTTTACTTACCTGGTGTGCCATGAACCTCTACATTTGCAATCTCTTTTCCTTTACCTTTATCATTCTCCAATCCTCCTGTGGTGAGCCGTGCAAGCTCTCAATCCTTGTACTCCTTGAAGTAGTTTGCATATACATTCCAATAGTTGATGCTGTGAACCTCTTGTCCATGACTCTTCAGGTATGTGTTGATCACTTGATTGGTCAGCATCATGGTAGACTTAGATAAATCATTGAACATGCGATCAATCAGCGCAAACCCTTCTTTGAGCTTGTTGTTGGTCTCTGATGACCTCCGTCTGGTCAATGATTCCTGTGAACTAGACTCATGATCAATGAGGTTTGCATTCTCTTCTGGGAACCACTCTCAAGTGTGGGCATTGGAGGGGTAGTAGCTTAAGTCCAATTGTTGACTAGACACCCTGGTAAATGTGTTACTGCCTAGGGTGCCATGCAGAGCCGTATTGTCAATATCCTTCAATGGTGTTGGAGGGATGAGATTGAGGGGAGGCAGAGGGTTGGCCCACTGCGTCTCATTCTGACCACTGGCTGCAGTCATTCCCATGACTGGGTCTGAGAGCAGCATAGAGGGAAATGAGTCGTCTATCATAAAATTAAAGTTGTGTGTGGTATCATGACCTGGCCATGGAGGCTGTGTGCTTGAATGAGCATAAAAAAGGTCATTGAGGTGCGCAGGGTGTTGTGAAGGAGGATCACCCAGAAAGGGTAAGGACTGGTGGCTCAGTGGGAGTGATGTGGTATCACTACTCACAGGACTAGCAGAAAAGGGAGAGGTCTGATGGCTGTTTGGAAGCAGAAGTGGGAGCGATGATGAGTTGCTGCTTGCACCACTGCCACCTGGCAAGGGAGAGGAGTGGCGACTATTCACATGTGGGAGTGTGAGCGAAGATGTATCACTACTCACGGTGACACCATGACCATCAGTAAGAGAGGTCAGGGGGGAAGCAGACTGTGCAGGTTGAGGGGAAGGTACTGTATGTGCTTGGCAACAAATATTGGCCTCCCTTGCAATACTGACATTGCGTGAGGTTGCCTTGATGTTAGTTCTAAGTCTCGTTGGGGTGAGTTCAGGAAGAGGCGATAGATGTCAATGGCCACCACCAAACTGCTTGTGAATAAAATCATCACTAGGTACTACAGAATACAAGTCCATGTAGCTGGGAGGGGGGGAGTATATTGTGGCACCAAATTGGTCTGCCATTTGTTGGGTCATATCTGTGGCTGGGTCAACAACACAATTTTTTTGAGTATTTAAGAATCACCTTTTTGTAGAAGAAGGATGTACAGTTAACACTGATATGAATGATGAGGACTTGTTTATTCACAAACAATCTATCAGAGCAATCCCGTCAGTATGATTCAGAGAGAAATTGAAGAACATGATGACAGAGGACACTCACAAAGTCTAGAAGGATAGATTCTGAGAGGGGGGGAAAAGGGGGTATGGGCAGATGGTGATCCATCTAGGGAGACCCTTCAGAGAGGGAAGAGAATATTGTCACTGAGAGGTAGCAGGACATCAAAGGCAAATAGAAAACGTACCAAGGCCCTATACTTATAGAAAATTTCATCCTCTGGTGAATTGGTGTGCCTCCAGACATATCCCAACAGTGCACATAATGCCACGGAACACACTAAACAAATTTAAACAAAAGTGATGAGATGCAACCCAAGATACTGGACCTCATAGAATGTAGAGCCTTGAGAGGGTATGGTGTGTTTACTGAGGCTTGCTTGAATACCGAGAGGCACTGGATATGTTATGAGAGTAAATGAGAGCCAATGAAATTGAAGATACAGATCACACTCACCATAAAACATGAACGTGCAAATAAGTTCTGTGCACAAACCTCCCACAACAGTCCTCAATGATTGCAGTAACACACCCCATCCCATTGGTACCAAAATCTAAGCAATTTCATCATGTTGAACCCATGTAACAAGTTTGTCTGGTTAGCTGGCATCATTACAATACAAACCTCGTGTGTATTTTGTGTTCAATTTGACTGACACCACTATTTTCCCAACTATGGGATGCAAAGCCAAGTACTTTACTTTAGCAGACAAACTGGCAGCACAACGTCAACAGCAGGCATCATACACTCAGACAGAATGGTGAGTTACTTATAATTGTAAGCCTGGTATTCACTCATTCATGTTGCAGAGTGAAAATGGCTCAACAAGCTCAGAACACTCATGCATATGCCAAGTGCCATGGTCAATGCGGATGACAGACAGCACCCAAGAACAAGCCACAGCCTCTTGAAACAACTCTGCTCACATTTGCAACTCTCACTCTACTGAATTCCTATCTATTTCACCAATCCCTCACTGGTTTGGACTTGATCAACAAGTCTGACCTCTCACAATGGGACAAGCTCCCTCCCTACAAATATGCACCTCCACCACAGACACCAGATGAAGAGCAATTCACTCAGAACCTTCTAGATGTGATGCACAGACATCAGTTGCATCAGTTAAGGGAGTCTTGCACTCATTGTGCAGTCATGTTTAACGCAGAAGATATTGCTGGTATTCTCAAGGAGATTCAAGAGGCATGAAAGACATTGATCGATGGCTGGATTGAACTTGATGCACACATCACGACCTTGCAGGAATGCATGAGGGAGAAGGTCATGGCTAAATGTTTTCAGCAGTGGCAAGTGAGGAAGATCTTGAACTATCAAGAGGAAGAGGATTTGTTAGCTAGTGGGGAGAATCCATATGTGTAGATAGAAGTGTTGAATTTATTGTGACATTTTCTATTCCACAGCTGGTAAAGAAAGAGTGAGACTGCAGAGATAACAATGCAGACAATGTATATCATCCTCCTGCTGTCTTAATAACCGAGGGTCTTATATAAATGCGTGTAAAATGTAATGACACCACAATTACACTAGGATAAGACTTCTTGCCAGTCCTTGATTAACACGGTCTATGACTTTTCTTCTTTCATGGTAGATAACATGTGAGTTCTTGGGAGGCTCACTAAACCAATCTATGTGATTAACTTAGCCAGAGCTTTTGTATTATATCCCAACTTATAAACTTGTCTAGGATAAACCATCTAGACACTGGAACATGGTTCCTTATTAAGATAATCCTCTGTAGAGACTACAGTCTCAAATATGAATACATTGACCAAAGACTGGTTGGTCAAATAGGCACAAAGTGGTGAGAAACTGGTCTCACAAATGAACAGATTGACCAAAGTTTATGTTGGTTAATATTAGAAAACTAGGTGAGAAGCGGGTCTCACAAATGAACAGATTGACCAAAGCTCATGTTGGTCAATATCAGAAAACTAGGTGAGAAGCTGGTCTCACAAATGAACAGATTGACCAAAGCTCGTATTGGTCAATATCAGAAACTAGGTGAGAAGCTGGTTTCAAATAAACTAAGTTTCTATCATAAGAAACTTATGTAATCTCAAGGGAATGTCTTTTCCCTGCACTTGGTACTTCAAAGGGGCTTTCTTTGTAAGCAACAATCTTCACAGTGAGTAGCTCAAACTGAGATTCAAATGATTGCAAGTGGGAGATCCTATTTTTTTGGGGGAGAATGGGTCCTCCTTATATACATTTTGTGTGGGAATATTGTGTAAGTAAAAAAGCGGAGCAATGTCATCAGAAGTGGAGCAGAACATTCCAGAATATTCCATAGGTGGAGTAATGACATCAGAGGTGAGTCATTGTGGAGCAGAACATTCCAGAACAAATGACATCATCATGACATCATCATGACATCATAACTTTCAACAGAATACTTGCAGGAGTATCTGTGGAGCCATATGACATCATTATGACATCATACCCTGTAGGTACAATTTTGTGAAGTATCTGATGGGTCAGAGCATCCTAATAGAAAAATAAATCAAGGAAATACTAGAGAAAACAACTCAGAAATAATAATACAATAACAAGACACAAAACACAGGCTTTTTAGATAGGTTTTTGTTAGGCTTTGAACTTTTCTCTATGGTTTTCTCTAGCCAAAGTGAATAAGCCAAAGGCAAGGCAATACCTTAACCTTCTTGCTTCACAATATCAACTAGGTCATTGTGTGATTCCCATCTCACAAATGACTTTTCTTCAAGATATAATAAATTCATGAATCACAGAGGGGAAACTGAACTATATGACCAAGGTTTGAAACCAAGGTATGGGTTGACTAGCCTGATGCCTAAGCTAACAGACTTTGTCTTTTAGGGGGGCTACCTAGTAGTCATGTCCATGCATGATTCCCAAATCATGCAGGACACCACAAGCCCATAACATGCTGCCTGCGAAGTACTGCAGTGAGCATCACTAGAACCCAAAGACCACAGTCATAACTGTTGTTTTGGAGACACTGGGTCTACAATGAATGATGTCAGAGTGGTCAATATCTGTGAAATGTAGAACTCACATTGAGAGGTTGAGCAACCCATCCCAAGAGGTCAGTCAGAATGTGATGGCCGTGTTTATTGGCCATGGCAAACAACCGAGCAATTAATCTCATGATGTCCTTCTTCATCATCAGTAAGACACTTGGTCACATGAAGATGAGCTTACTTTGACATTGGTTTTCCAAGGTTTTTTTCAGCAAGGCTATCAAAAAGGTGTAATTTCTTATTGAAGACATGAATCACACAAATTACCCAATGTCCAATTGAGTCAGAGGGCTGGTGTATTGGAAGGACCCATACGTCCTTCTCCCAGTAATGTGTCCATGAAATATTCCGCCAAATGATATCATCAGGGGCATTGTAATGGATGCATGGGAGGTCATGGGTAGAGAATATTGCACAAGAGAGGGCTGGGGATTTTAGTTCAGAGTAGAGCAGGGCAGCACAGCTGTTAATACACACATCATTGAGACACACTGTCAGAGAGCAGAGCAATTTGATATCTTTTGGATTGAATATTTGATGCAGGAATCCATCATGCAGAGGTCGGATACGTGTGACGAGTGTGTTGGGGACATTATTGTCCTGCTCTTGAACTGGGACACGAAGATCGTCAACTAGTAAAACTTAGTGAGGGGCATTGTTAAGAACCATGCTCAAAGGAGAGAGAGACTGACTCAGAGGGGCTTGGCCTCAGCTCGTACACTGTGCCCCTTACCTGAGTATGTGCCCTTCATTTCAAAGGAAGTCTGATGATGGTCTGATGAAGTCCAGAGGACTTCTGGAGGCTGGCTACTCTGGTGGAGTGTTAAAGGACTTCCAGAGGAGCATGGGAAATGTCCAGAGGAGTGCGGGAGAGTTCTGGAGGAACACAGGAAGTGTTCAGGAGAGTTCCCACTGCAAGGTAATACTTCTACAGGAAACAGGATGGAAGGATAGGAGGTCCAAAGGTCTGGAGGACAGGAGGGCAGGATGTCTGAAGGTACAGAGGGCAGGAGGATAGGACATCCAAGGGTTAGGAGGATGAAACATCTGAAGGACAGGATGCCTGGAGGTATGAGGGACAGGAGGTCCAGAGGTACAGAAGACAGGAGGTCCAGAGGTCTGGAAGGAATAGGGGCTACATTGGACAAAGTCTGATGTAGAAGCAAACAGAGGTAGACTACCCTAAGGTAGAGTTGGAGAGAACAGGGATTGGACCTAAGTCCAGAAAGAGGGTAAGTGCTGGAAGGGCAAAGCTCTGGCCTAGGGAATCAATCCCTAGGCCTGATGAGTAGGACAGACTTAGGTGAACCAAAGTCCAAGAGAGGATTGGGCAAGTCTAAGTTGGCGAGGACAGATCTAAGATGATATTCAGACTGAGGAACCACAGGAGTATCTACAGGGGTTATATACTGGACAATATCTGAGGGGATCAGTAAGCAAAGGAGCAAGGCTATGTATGAGCATGTGGAAACACATTAGTAAGTAAGACGGAACATAAGTAAATGAACTCAGAGATGAAGACTTGTACAAGGATCAATCAGCAAGACAGAAACAGAGATAACTGAGAACCAGAAAGGTGGAGATGCCTAAATGGGGATAGGCACAGGATCTCAGACAGAGGGTGGGAATGGTCCGGAGATCTGGGGATCTGGAAGGCAGGGCGGAAACAGGACTGAGATATGTGAGGTAGTGGATGTAGTCCGGAATCCAAGAGGAGGTAAAGTCCAGATGTCTTGCTGGATGGAATGTGCATAGGGTGGACAGGATAGGGGATCCAGGAATGAGTTGGATATGGGGTCCGGAAATAGGTCTGGAAAGCGTGGGAATATGATGGGATCTATGTCTGGCATATGGGATATGACAGGCATCAGTGTTATGATATTGAATTTTAAGTTAATTAACATACCTTAGGAAGCTCCCACACGATGGTGGCTTTAATGTCATAGCCTATGTCAGTTGACTCACTGTCATTGTCCATTAACATGCCCATCTGTCGCTCAAGAACATCAGTGAGTGTGGCTTGTTCCAAGCCAATCTGTGGTGGATCATTAAGGTCAGCAGACACCAGCTCATCTTCACCATCAAGATTGGGTATGGTGAGCCTTGTGGTATGGATCCAATGAAGGGCAGTGCTCTGAGAGCCTCCTGAGAGGGTAGCCGCAATGTCTACAGCTTCCTTAACCTGGGTAGCGAACCATAATGAGGATGCAAGCAAGTTGCTCCAGCATGATTGAAGCTGAAGGAAGTCAGACCAGCACTGTTCCAGGGTGGCTGTAAAAGGCTCACCTGGAACCCCATTAGAAAAGAAGACTGGAGTTGAATGAATTTACCTACATTCTGGGATGCAAAGAGCAAACTTGAGTGCTGCAAGCTCTTCCCCAAAAAAATGACACAGATTATCAGCTTCGGTGCCAAGGTGCACCTGTTCTTCCCTGCATTGATCACATTTAAGAAGAGTGCAGATGCAATCTCTAACGTCCATATCATCCAACCACCATGGGACCTCCCCAATAGATGGAGTGATCCACATGTCCTCCATGAGTGTAGGACCGGCACGGAGTTCAGTAAGCTTTGTGGGGAGGGGAGTAGGTAAAGGAATTGTGCAAGATGGATCATAGAGCGAATCTAATTGTTTGCAGTACAAATTGAATTTGCTTATAGCTGTCATCAGGGTGGGTTGGTGCTTAGCAATAGCCTTCCATGTCTGTTGATGCAGTTTCATTCCTGAGAGATATTAACAATCAAATAGAATGAGAAGGGGGATGGACATGTTACCTAATGCTTGTTGAGCACCGCCAACAGCCTGATCTAACTTGTCCCACTTGAAGAAGCTGGCAATGGCACATTTGCAAATATTAATTTTGAGGTCCTGTGCCATCAACAGGATGCGAACAAAATCAAGGTCAATTCCCTTAAGCTCTGGAAACTTATTGTGGATGTTGAGAGACAAATAGAGCACTTCAACTTTGTCCATCAAGTGATCATGACCTCTCTCAAGGCTCTCTAGAGCCTTGAGAGTGTTGTCAGAGTGACTCTTTCGCGAGCATGACCCTCATAGCCTGCAGTGCTCAGTTTGAAATATTGAGATCAGCTTGTAGACCTAGCACTGTGTCAAGTTCTTTCCTCAAATGAGCAGGGGCATCTTAAAGAACAGTTTGATGAGTGGCTATATGTGTAGTGTGAATGTACTTACATGCTCAAATCGAAAGCTGAGATTCCCATTGATGCAACCATTGGGACTTCAACTCCTTGATGGGTATTTCACATCAGTCCAGAATGTCTTGTACAGTTGACCCTTGATTGTTGACACTGTGTTTCAGATGTTGCTTAATCCAGTTGCTGAGGTCCCTGCACATCTCTAAGCCTATCGCAGCTGCCTGGTGATCAATCAGTCATATACAATGATGACACTAGAAGGCACCCAAAGATCAGTAGGTTAATAACAGAATGAAAAATATTCTCACCGATGAGGATCTCTTGACACTGATCAACTGAACAAACCATGACCAAAGTCTTTCAGTTCCTTCTCTGTCTGACAACCCAAGTCTGATGCAGATGTGTGGATTATATACCAGTTGACATGCCCATTTGTGTCCATATGCATGCATTGCCATTGTGGCAAATCGGAGGCGGCTTGTTATATCTTCTGGAAGGATTTCATACTAACCTCCAATAAGCACAGGGAAACAAATAAAGACTGATGAATCTACCTTTGAAAGTGACCGCACAAGAACACACCCAATGTCATATAAGGCAACAATGGTCACCTGAGGGGGCAGCAATGAAAATAAGTGTTGGAGAAGAGCAACAGAATATTTCTGTTGCTCGCTGGGTGAATCTATGTTAGCAAAAAACAAAGGAATGTTGTGGTGACATATAAGAGCCATAACCCCCATATCATCAAAACTGTCCATAGCAGCCTTCTGCTTTTTCCCATTGGCAGCCTCATAAGCATTTTCGCATAAATTGATGGCTTCATCGGGTACAACAAGCTTATGTGCCTTAGGAGGACACTTACATTAGGAATCTATCTGGTGGCCAACTTGATCAATGAAATCCTTGGGGAGAAAGTATGTTGGGTCATAGAATGGTGGACAGTTGCCTGTGGAGTGCCGATGGCGGTGGTGGAAATTTCCATCCGTCACGATATGTATACAGTGGCTCAAAAAACTGTCCACATGTTTTTGCATTTTTTACTATTTACAATATTGTGTGAGAATACATAAAGACCTTAGTGACATGCTGATACCATATTGTAGTGCTGCTTCAGGGCTTTGGATTGAGCACCACATCGTGAGAATCAGAGGAGATATGGTGGAGATACAAGGCTTACAAAATCATGACTCATGTGGACAGTTTTTTGAGCACATATTAAAACTATATAAATCATCATTTATGACACCATAACAATCATGCCACCATTAAATAAATTATAAAGTGGTGTCATTATGTCATTTTAAAACCATATCTAACTATACAAACCAAAAATTTCCATATGTCATGGTTATATTCACCATGAAAGCCACCCCCCCTGCTCAAAGGGATAATATCCTCTCTCTTTCCTATTCTGGCCTCTCTGCTTGTCAAATTTCCTCAGAACTGGAGTATCCAAGTCCACTGTGGCCAAGTTCATCAAAGAAAGTTACACAGACAAGGAAAACTTCTGTGAAGGGTGTCCATCCAAGCTCACCTCTACTGATAGGAGGGCTATTATTCAACGTATCACTACAGGAAAGGCTGATAATGCTGTCCAGGTCACCTATTACATCAATTCCACCATCACATTCCCTGTCTCTTCACGCACTGTGAGAAACATTCTCAAGACAGCTCATCTCAGGTCAGTAACAAGGAAGAAAAGGCTTTCCTCTCTATCACACATAAACAGAGATGACTAACCTTTGCCTTAGCCATCAGAATTGGATTACATGAACTGGAAGCATGTTATATGATCATATAAGACCACAATAAATAGGATTGGGTCAGATGGCAAGGTATATATGTGAAACAAGAAGGGTGCTAGTCCTCTCTGCATATGTGTGATAGAGAGGAGAGCCTTTTCTTCCTTGTTACTGACCTGAGATGAGCTGTCTTGAGAATGTTTCTCACAGTGCGTGAAGAGACAGGGAATGTGATGGTGGAATTGATGTAATAGGTGACCTGGACAGCATTATCAGCCTTTCCTGTAGTGATACGTTGAATAATAGCCCTCCTATCAGTAGAGGTGAGCTTGGATGGACACCCTTCACAGAAGTTTTCCTTGTCTGTGTAACTTTCTTTGATGAACTTGGCCACAGTGGACTTGGATACTCCAGTTCTGAGGAAATTTGACAAGCAGAGAGGCCAGAATAGGAAAGAGAGAGGATATTATCCCTTTGAGCAGGGGGGGTGGCTTTCATGGTGAATATAACCATGACATATGGAAATTTTTGGTTTGTATAGTTAGATATGGTTTTAAAATGACATAATGACACCACTTTATAATTTATTTAATGGTGGCATGATTGTTATGGTGTCATAAATGATGATTTATATAGTTTTAATATGTGCTCAAAAAACTGTCCACATGAGTCATGATTTTGTAAGCCTTGTATCTCCACCATATCTCCTCTGATTCTCACGATGTGGTGCTCAATCCAAAGCCCTGAAGCAGCACTACAATATGGTATCAGCATGTCACTAAGGTCTTTATGTATTCTCACACAATATTGTAAATAGTAAAAAATGCAAAAACATGTGGACAGTTTTTTGAGCCACTGTATCACCACCATTGTCAGTAGATTTGCCATACAATACACCACCAAAACATGCAGGGCACCACTGGACAAGAAGGGGCAAACATTGATTCCAGTATAAGATGGTTGGGGAAGGGGCCTGCTCTGGAGGTTGCTGTCCATCAGATAATATCTTGGGAGCTGGCAAGAACACTTTGAACTCTGCAACATGATCCCAACACCGCTGGAGAAGTGACTTGAGTTGGCATTCAACCTCAATCTGCAAGATGTCAAACCATTGCACTGTGTAGCCAAGCCTGCAATGAAAAGGTTCACAAATCAATTCACCCTTTAGAGCAAAATGTTATTAGTGTTCAATAGCACAATGGTAGAACGTACTTTTTTGTCTGTCATTTGGAATCCTCAGTGGGAATAATATGTCTTGAGAGCAGGCACAAGTGCATTGATTGCATCGCAAGTGTTAAGGTCATACTCAAGGGATAACTGAATCTGAAGGGCTTCAGCCTCAGCTCGTGCACTGTGCCCCTTACCTGAGTATTGCCCCTTATTTCAGGAAGGCAAGACTAACACATCCAGAAGGTTGGACAAGTAGCATAGCAGATCTGGATGACTTCTGGATGAGGGATAAGTATCATAGGGCTAATCCGGATGAGTCCAGACTAGAAACTAATGGTAATGGACTGTCAGAGACAGAGGTGGATATGGATAGACTATAGGAATCAATCCTAAGTCTCAGAGGGTGACAAGAGTAGAGATACTCAAGTCTGGAGGACAGGAATGAGTAGAACTAAGATGATATTCAAACTGAGGTACTACAGAGAGTTACAGGAGGTTATATACTATAGGTATCTAACAGAATGATCAATCAGCAGAGTCTGAGGCTACATATGAAGCATATGGATGGTCTATTGGTAAGTAGAAATGGATCACAAATAATGAAATGGAAATGAAGCATAGGTAACAGATCAGGGGGCAGGACAAATATACAGATAATCAAAATACCAGAGTTAGGGGATTACTGAAAAGAGACGAGCACTGGTTATGGATTTGGATGAATTGTGGACCAGACTGGATGAGTGGACAGATTGGATGACAAGATGTTGGAGGGAGATAAGATGTGAATAGGATCTGAGATGAGATAAGGATCGGATCTGAGATCTGGATATGTGGATATGACAGCAAGAGCGCTCGAAGAGCGTCCAGTAAAATGACAATAAGTTGAGGGAAACTGCCATATGAGGCTGGGATGGTGAGGTAGGGAACAAGCCGTGGTGGATGAGGACTTGGGGAAGTGAGGAGCAGTCACAGCTCAACATCAACAGATGTGAATCCTATTGACATTTATACATCATTGCTAGTGTGTGATTGAGGACTTACAGTCAAAAAACAAACAAATCAAAGTTGTTTGTTTCCCTGTGCATTTGAGAGTGGTGCACACAGATGTGACTTCATTGACTCTTTCCAAGGGTTGGACCTGTGTCTGTGCAGTATATTGAACTTGGGGCTGAATGAGGGTTGGGATGAGCACTAACCAGCTATGGTATAGTGTGTCAGTCGATTTGTTGGGTGAAACACGATGTCTGGACAGTGGCTATTTGTGAAACAAGTCAGGTTCTACTACCTCAGGCACAAACATCTCCACATCATCTAAGTGAGTGATAGGATTGTCTGTGGGAAGAGGCGGTTCATTTGTTGTGCTCTTCATATCCAAGGTTGGTGAGTGTGATGCTTGATGACATTCAGGGTTCATCAACTGGTCCATCTGAGCAAGAAGGCAGCACCATTTGGCCTCTGCACCAGGTATCTCAATCAACACTTGACTTTTCTTCTTGTTGTGAGCTTTATATGGGCTGATAAAATGGCGACCAAGACCAGAGGATACAACTTCGAACTTGTGAGAAGGATGCACCCTGCCTGGCATTGATGGTGATGAAGGCATCGTTGTAGTACTAAAGAAACCACTGTAGAGTGGACCTAACATAATATGAAGTGAATGCAATGAGGCTCCTGAGAGCCAGTGGTGGGGGGTGAGGCTACCTGCAGGAGAGCACGAGGCTATTATGGGTGGCACCAGAGCCACTGGAAGTGGTAAAGGATGATATCTATTAATAGATGGTAGAGAGGTCAGGTCTCATAGATAACTTTCCCATAACATAGAAACCGGGTCTCTGAGACCCTTTATTACTACCAAGAAGTACTGCCTGAGGTGACTGGCAGCTCGAGTGGACAGAACTGTGTACTTCACAGATGAACTGTTACAAGATACTTCTGGAGATTACTTCATCCCAGAACATTTTTTCTATGCCTCTCCACCTGTAGACTTAGATGATGACAATGGTGAATCCCACAAGAATTCAGTTACAAAGCCCTTATATGTGCTTGGTCAGGTGGTCAAACAAACAGAGGTATGTCATCATTGTGCACCTACTATGATGTATATGTTCTAACTGCACTACTAGGCTGGATTTATCATTAATGAGGAACAAGAGATCATACCTGCTGTGATGATCAGACCAGCGCTAGGCGCATATGATCAATAGCACGGTTTTTCTCACCTTCAGAAAAAGGAGATAAAGCACGGATCATATAATCCATATATATCAACCCATCTGCTCTTACTCTGGTCTGGTCCTAGGAATCCATCCTCCCATGTCCTATCCATGTCCACCTATCTCCACTGGTGTGTTATTTTCCCAAATGTCATTGCTAAACAAGCTGCAGGTCTTATTACATGACTACTCACGTTCTGCAGCACATGATGTTTTACTACCTATAGACTCATTGCATGCTCGCTAACCATGCTACAATTCTCACCTATGCATTCTGGACACTCACGTGCTACAATATAAATGACCGCAGTACATACAATGGAGTAGTTTTTCTTCCCCCAGAACCAGTCCCACAGGAGAGTGATTCCCGCACTATTCGTAGACCTTGCACTATCCATCTATTTTGTTCCTTCCTGACAATCCTGCACGATTTGACCATTCTGAAGTCCATACCACTAGGATCTTACCCTTAAGCTCAGCAAGAATACTCAACCTGCGACCAGTAGTTTAGTGCTATTCTTCACTCACGCTATATCCCTTGCAACCAGCCGCTCCATAGAGCATGATTGATTTTTGCCTGCACTCCCAGTTGATTCCTTGGTATAGGAATTCAGAGGTATACCTATGGCCAGCATTCAAGTTTCTTAGGCCAATATAGATTTTAACCCCTTTGCTCACTTACTTCCCTCGCGCATAATTGAAGGAAGTGCTTCAATAGCAGTCTTCTCAGGCTGATCAATTAAACTTGCGCCTCTTAGGATAAGTAGTGCTAGTTGCTAACAGCCTAGTACCTATTACTTCTTCACACCACATCTGCTTTCATGCAGTCCTTTGAAGACATTGCTGCGACTTGGGGTGAACTCAATTGTGGCCTTACTGGTACGTTTTACATTTACTTGTCTCAGTAACTGCAAGATTAACATGAGATAAACAGCCTTGTCAACTAAATATGCAATGCTTTCACCAAATCCACTGTGTGCAAAGGCAAATGGTCACATGGTATATATGGTCCCCCTTATCATCTTCATGGACAACATTTCCAGCAACATATCAAAACAATGGAACAAACACCACGCAATCTACATGTCAAATGTGAACCTCCCACATGAAATGCTAGAGAAAGAGTTTTTTGTGTGCTTTGTTATGTCCTCACCACATGCTGCTCCCATGGAGCTTATGCGGGCAATGAAACAGTCCATTTGGTTCATTATTTTATTCACTTGCTCAGATTGAAGCTCTAACTAGATTTACAGTAATGCAGCTACATCTGGGGTCGCTGCATGGGATTGCAAAGACAACGAAGAAGTGTTATTGATCCCATGTGGGCTTTTCATTGCTGGTGACAACCTGATGCAAGCAGAAGAATGTAGTCATGCAGGATTGAACTGCAACTACTTCTGCCAGATGTGCGACATTGGTGGAACAAAGGAGTACAAAGCATCTAAGGATGGCTATAGCAGCTTGTTTGCAGTAAGAACATAGTTTGATTGTATTTCAACTACTGATGATGTGATTCAGTCAGGCAATCTTCAAACACCAGAAGGCACTGCTGCGAACATCTGGGAACAGTTTGAGATGGCGCTGAAGCCTGGTGCTACTGAGAAAATCAAGAATTTGATATCAATGACAGGTGTTTGTGATACAGCCTCGAATTCCATTATGAACACTCTTGTAGAACTTGGAAAGAAGCTTTGAAAACATACAGTTGGCACTCAAGCAAAGTCCAAAGCTGAAGTCACAGCTGCACTGGAGAGAGAATTTGAAGAGCTTCTACAAGGTGACAAGCTTGAAGACACCCTCAACCCATTATTGGGAATGAATGGTCAGTTTTTTTCTGAGTCATTGGCATCTTGTTCACGTTTTTGCTAGGGCTCAACATGCACATGGATACACCAATAGAAATACTGCACACTGTGCTACTTGGCATTGTGAAGTATTTTTGGGGACAAACTGTATTTTTACTCGACAAAGCAAAGCTTATGGACATTTTTCAAACCTGTCTCCAGTCTGTTGACACAGATGGACTGAATGCTCCATGCTTGAATGCAGGATACATCTGTCATTACAAGGGTAGTCTGATTGGAAAGCACTTCAAGAGCCTGTCGCAGGTGATGCTATTCATAATCTACGACCTCGTCCCTTCAACAGTCCTCAATGCTTGGACAGTAATGGGCAAACTCATTGTACTCATCTGGCACACGAAGATTCTGAATACCGAAGCCTATCTTGTAGGTTAATTCATGTGTATTTGAAGTTGTAGTTCTTATCCTCTGCATCTTCTAGGCAAACCTATCTCAGACAATTGAAGACTTTCTTAATGTCACAGCACAGTGTTCCCCCAGCATCATCATCAGCAAACTGAAATTCCACTTCTTGATCCACCTCTCAGCATACATTCATCAGTTTGGACCCACAATTATATTTTCAACCAAACACTATGAATCATTCAATCACATTTTCCATTTGATGTGTATATACAGCAACTGTCAAGCTCCAAGCTGTGACAGCTGCAGGATATTTGCTCATCAAGATATTGTCAAACATATTGCTACAGGTGGATTTTGGTATGACTCCAAGACCTCAAAATGGGTTTGAGGAAGTCAAGAGGTTCTTGGATATATATACAATCACCCAGAACAAGTGCAATTGCTTGGATTGTCGCACCTTGTTTGTAGCCCTCCTGTACCTGGCAAATCAAGTGTATTGTGCCTTGCTTTATCTTTGCTAATGATTTACATAGGTTCCAGAAAGGCTGAATCTGCTATTGGCACCAACAGAAAAACAACCAGAAAGGGTGCAGTGGCCTGGAAGAACACTCGTTGTGCAAAGATCTTGAAGACTGCAAAGCCCGGCACTAGTTATTTTCACAGAAAATCGCTTGTAGCAAGCAAGGGCAATGTTGTGCATTTAAACAGTCATGTTGGCTTCTGTCAAGTGACAAATGGGCAGGTGAATGATTTCTGATCATGTTCACGACTGTTAATTCACAAGATATCACTAGATGGCAATTGGACAGATTCTGGAGATTCTGATGTCATCTGATGATCGCAACAATGTGTCACACATTGTGCTGCAGCTTTTTGCATTTGCCCATACACTACATCCCTCCGTTCATCTCCCATGTCTCAACCTTTTGGATGACAAGGTGGTCGTAACAGCGGCAGTAGGTCATTCTACAAATGCACAAGCTATACTGACTACTGTCACACAGGATATCAAGTGTGTGATCAATCTCCAGCACAATTGTATTGATTCACAGTGCACAGACACCCTCCAGATGGCCATGTGTCAAGAACAGATTGAGACTTTGCAAATGATACCTACCATCCACCATAAGTCCACTCCAAATTATTTTCTCAATGCCTACTCCATTCATAACTACAGTTATATCCATCTTATCATTCCAGAGATGCTTCATGAAACACCACTAAGAGTTACTAACATCACAGAAGTTTGGGCAACCACTGTACAGCACATGAAGGAGAAGAAGGCTTCGAAGAAAGCTGGTGACACATTGCAAGAAGCTGAAAGAACAGAAAATGATATCCAGGGCCCCTTGATGCCAGCACCTGCATTTGATAAACCTCCTGCCAGACCAAAGACTGCTGCAAAGCCAAAAGCTAAGGCAGGCACTGGCTCCAGCACACGAGGAAGGAAGGCCACAGCATCATCTTGTGCTGGCCAAGCCATTGCTGGATCCTCTGGACTTGAGGCACCATCCACTCAGCAAAATCCCCTGGTACAATCCACTTCTTTGGTCCAACACACTCAGGGCCAATTTATACTGCCAACAAATGCATTCCCTCCACTGCAATCCTTCCACCCCTCTATACCCCATTTGCACCATCTGCTACAATTGCACTTTCCTCCAGCACAGCCATACCTTTCTGCACCTCAACCATACCCTCAAATGCACTACCCTTATCCACTGCCACCAGCTCCATATATTCACTCAAGTTATTGCCAAAGTACAGACATGCATCCTGCCAATGTATGGTCGGTTCCCACAGCCTCAGGCTCAAACTTTCATATGATGCCACCTCACGAACTGCAGTTCCAAAGTCTCCCAAACCCCTACTTTCAGCTGCCTGGCTATGGTTAGAGATGACAAGGACTGAAGAATAAGGATAAGTTATTGTCTTGAAAGTCAAGCTCCCCCATCTTATTGCTTATGCACTTCACTGCACAAAACTCCATTCATCTATAATCTATACCACTTTTCTAGCAAAGCTCCCCCACTTTATTGCTTATGCTCTTCACTGCACAAAACTCCAATCTTCCATGCTCATATCCTAACTCATGGGCAAAGTGTGCCATCAAGAAAAGTACTACTTGTATACTCAATTCACACTCTCCTTTGTTTCCAAGTGCTCCATGCTTTCATTGTGCTCAGCTCCCTGGATTTCAACCCTCCCTTGCACACCCTCAAAGTTATGAAGTTACATTATGATTAACTTCAACCAAATTTTCAGGGTGCTGAGACATTCATTCACCATCACTCATGCAACACCAGGCAGAATTCACTGCATTTTCCTCATCAATGATCTCTCATTATCCTGTGCATCCTCATGGTTCCAAACCTCCAGCTGGTACACAGAACAGAGGTTTGGGGGGTGGTAGTAGTTCTCTGCTAACACCAGACATTAATTTGTTGAGGTCTCGAGGAATGAGCGCCTCAACGTCAGGCAGGCTTCGAGTTGCTTCTTCTGCATGCAGCTCTGGAGCAGTGGGAGATATTGGTCAAGCATGATCACCACTCAGCACCTTCGAAAAACTCACTCAAGGGGCCTATTAGTGCTGGTGTATGTCACCAAAGGACATACTCTGATGCTGGCTTGGGCGATCCCACTGTGCTGACACCCTCATGTGCAAAATGACTCAAAACATATGCGAAGAAAGTGGCTGAGGAGAATGATGTGAGTTGCTTTGCTTGACGTGCATACTCTTTTTGATTTTAATTTTTTAGACCAGTGGAATATATTATATGCTCATTGATCTAAAAGTATGCATGATGAAAATGGACTCAACTCAAAAGGCTGCTATGCTTGCTGATGTCAAAGAGTTGTTAAACTTGAAGGACTTCAAGGTATTTTAAATTTCTACACTACAAGTCGCCAGGCTAATTTAATGTTATGCAGTCTGGCCTCCAAAATCGTCTGACTGCATGTCTCCTGTCACCCAACCTGACTGCATATAAGACAGATGCACTCCAAAACATCTCAGTAACCTCCTTTGATATCAACTATCTCATGAGACTGACACTGTGACAGACCTTTATTAAGGACAACAGCAGCATCTTCAAGGTTCCTTTGTCACTATTCGAGGATGTAGAGCTCAGTGCAATATTCACAACAATCATTAGTGATCTTCTTTCATCAATCTGAGGCAGCATGAAGTCCAAGGTATGCACCTAAGTACTTTGTGCTGAAAAATTCTCAAATTATCACTCAGTTGCTCTCATCTATCCAAAAACACCTGAGCATAATGGACACATCAAAATCACTTGCTCATGGCTGTATAGAGGTTGATGCCACTCATTGGAATAGGATCGCTTTTTTGGTATGTTTTCGTTATATCAGATATTATAGGATGATCACATTCAACATTAGCAGCGCTGCTTGCATGTCTTCATGACTGGTATCGGTGACCACAGAAATCTTTCGCTGAAGGCTCTCTACTCAAACTCACTCATACCATCTCTCCACTTGGCTGTCCATGCTAGAATCAGACCAAAGCTTGGCATTGACATCAACAGCATTGAGCGCAAGTTGTATGGTGATGAGGCGGATCATGATGGTATACCACTGGATAGCACATTGGTGACTGATGAACATGGGGAAACCCAAGGTACATGTGCTACAGGTGACAATGGTGATTCCACTGGGACTGACAACTTGGATGAGCACTTGGGTGGGAATGGTGATGCAGACCAGGACTATGAGCTTGAAGATAACAAAGGCATCAATACCACCATGTTAAACAGCCAGCCACTTCACCCAGATGACTCCAGCTTTGGGGACAATGGCAGGCCTGTTATTTTCAGCACAGGGAAATTTTGGGACTTTGTCAATATTTCACTTGAAAATGTTCACAAAATTGCCAAGGAGGAGGCCATGGCTGATCAGAGTGGAAATACAGGATACAAAACCGCATTTCGGCAGTAGGTGTTTTATTATCATACCTTGCAAATGGTTACTCATTATTACCAAGATTCCTGGTGGAATATTTCCAGCAGGACCTTGCTGAATTTCCCAGCAACATGGTTATTCCTAAACTTCTCACAAGCAACACCCCTCAGTGGCAGACCACCATCCAGAATAAGCTTCTGTGGAACAAGGATCAGTGATTCTGTCACCACTACTTGTTCACCTATCTGTGCACATATACATACATACCACACTTGTTTCCACCTACTAATCACATCTGTATCCAATTCGTCATAATGGAATGTTTTTCGTGGCCTGCTTCATTTGCTTGGATGTTCAGCATGATGGCGATAGCACAAATAAAAATATGCATAATTGATAGCAGTAATAATTGCTTGCAAGGTCAGGATGATGCACACAATGTTGAGCAGACATCACAGACACCTGCGACTCTATGTATGTCTGATACCAGGGAGAGCTATGTACAACCTATGTGACAGGTCTGGTTGCCAGGGTATCCCTGGCACCTCTGATACCTCTTTTGGTGGCTGTAAGCAGGTCTCTTGGTCTCTTCACTCCCATACTTCCTTGCATATATATCATATTGCTCAGTAAGAGGTGCCGAGAACACCATTGGACCGGGGCTGTTATTAGGTCAGCTACGGGGTATCACTTTTAAACCTGTGAGGTTTTCGGCAGTTGGCGGTGTAGAACCAGCCAAATTGATCATGATCTCCAACTGAATGTAATTTGAGGAAATCTCTGCCATGCAGAGCTTAATCGAGTGACTTGTAACTTTCATACACTTGGTCCTTGGATGCTCAGCCTTATAACTGATCAGATGCCGTATGATAATTGGTGAGTAGAAAATCCTGAGGAGCCATGTTCTAGTAGCTGTGGTGGTGAGGACTTGCACTGTGTACATTTATTTAGGGTAGAAACCTGAATTTTTTTACAAAACATGAACGAGCAAGCATCATTCCAAACTCGAATTACTACCAATAGATGTCACCTATAGTTGTGCATTCAGTGCCAGTCACACGCCATTGAAACACCTGACAGCAAACCTACCTTTACTACTGCTGGCCCGGGTGGCTCTTCTTGCAATGTGCAACCAAGTTGTATTCGCATGTGAATGTCTGGTTGCAGATGTCACAAGCATAATTAAATTCAAGGTGCTTTTCTTTCACATGCCGCATGATGCTCTCTCTATTGAGCTTCACACCACAGGAATTCCATTGACAATGAAAGCGCAACTTGTCTGCGCCCCGAATGCCATGGTCCCTGAGGTGAACAGAAAGTTCATGCCCACAAAATAGGTCATTGCAGTGTATTCCTGGTACATCACCATCCCACATACACTGGAAGGTCTCATTTGGGAAACGGACAGCCTGCAAGCACCACTTTAGTCGCAACAATGTAAAGTCAGAAGAGTGAAACTTACATGCCTGAGTGAAGAGATGGCTTCAGAGGGTCCCTCTCTTGTATGACTGCCGGGGGGGTTGACATATTGGCCTGAAAGTGTCACTGAGTCAGCAATGTACGATCAGAATTTGCAGTGCAGAGGGGCGTTCGGGAGATACTATGTTGAGGGTATAGTTGTATGTACTGCAGTACCAAGACGGTCTGCTAACTGCGACCCATATTTATTGAGGAGCTCACCAAGAGGGTTATTTATCCATCTGTGCAAATGGTAGGCTTTTTGGATGCTAGATCATTAGACCGGGAGAGAGAAAATGTGTCAGTAGTAGGTGCCAGGGCTATCCAAGGGGATGGCGATTTTCCAAATGCATTTTGCTTTAGGAAAGCGGCAACCTGAAACTACACATGTGCTGGTGGCAGCTTGCCAATGCATTTCACCCTGACGGCGAAGGAGTAAAGTGGCAAGTCATACACACCAGATATGCCTCAGTTGACAGTTCTGAGCCTATTGAGTAAAGCTTTAATATCAAAAATGCAGCCGAACTGTAGTCATTTAGTCTGGCAGTGTGCCAGATCATTGCGCCTGGAAGGTATCCCATCAGATTCTTTGATTGACGGCCCAACAAAACCATCTGGATCAAATCTACACACATCAGCTGTCAGTAATGATCAGGGTTGAGACTTTGGGCCCCCATGGTTAACAGGTGTGGCAGATGAATGCGATTTCGAGTCGCATTAGGCTATCAGTGTAGGTAGACCTTGTTTTAAACATTGCACACACAATGGTAGCTAGTAGTCTACTGCCAAAAGAGCTCACACGTATTGCTAATTGCAGTGGTGCACAATAAAGCAATTTCAACACAATTAGTTGAACGGCATGCCGCATCAGCTTATCATAAGCCAATCAGCTGGATACTAAAAATCACTTGTGATGGCAGGAGAAGCCAGAAGTACTTACCCTATCTCACACGGTGGTCTAATGAAGTGGCATGATGGTTATTATGTGACATACATGCCAGATGGTTTTTTATGCATTTTGTCGCGATCAGCTGCCACACCACTAGCCACAAAAAGCTCTGATCACTACTAACTGATTTTTTTTAGGTTTGGTCCATATGTCTTTGTCAATCAAAGAATCTGATATGCCCTCCAGGTTGCTTCCAGGCGCAACTATCTGGCAAGCCCAGCACAAGGGTTGCAATTCCGCCGAGTTTTCGGAGTTCCAACAGGCCCGGAACTGCTGGCAACTTAGGCATGTTTAGTAGGTATAGATCTCTGCTTTACTATTTACTAGCAGATACCTTACCACTGGGGTACGTTGATGTTGAAACTTAAGGAGGCGGCACTGCTGTCCCTCGGCAAGCACTAGCGCCAGGCTCAGAGATTCGGCTCATCACACAGCATCCAAACCAGTGCCTATAGAAACAAGGTAGGTATGAGAAAGTATATGAGGGACACGTGTAGTGGAGGAGCGGTAGTATCGAATGGCGCTAGACGACAGAGCCTGCTCTCGCCATAAGACAACGCCAGCAAATATTGGCTGGTGTGAGCGGTCCTTTTAGAAAAAGGCAAAGTGTAAGTATATTCTCATTAGAATAGTCTGTAAGGGGGAACCCCCCTCACAGACCTTACAGTATTGGGGAGGGGCAGACTCTTGTTGAATTTCAAACGGTAATGAAGTGACACCTAGCATCACGGAACACCTTCCCAAAACGTCAAATTATATCCTATCCGGCGTTATTTTTGCCTATGGGAAGTCGTCCAATAAATCCTGGTTGCAGTTAGCAAGCCATCGCAATACTGCAATATGTACTTACAACTATGCCCTCAACGTAGTATTCCCGAACCCCCTCTGCACTGCAGCTGACCGGCGCGTAACATGTTAGGCGCTTGATACACGCAGGGATGTAAATACGGATAGTGGAATGGTTACCACATCAGGATGTTGTGAGTGAGGACGAGATGGAAGGTAAGGGATCATCCAGGGATCCCGTATCTGTACCATGGCTGCTGTAGCGGGGTATCCTGGCAGGACAGATCAAGTCGGAAGTGCCAGGGTCCCGGAGCAGGAGCAGAAGTCCTGGCCTATAGTCAGTAGTCTTGCGGCATGCCGTAGTCGGTCCTCGATAGATAGAGCCGCAGCCTCCCGCCAGAGAGGTTTGGCCTGGGTTTCCCTTGCAGTCCATTCCATCGTGCATTTGGAGGGGTGGCACTGCCATGTAGATATATAAGCAAAGCACTGCACCCCGAATTCAAGTCAAAAACAATGCTCATGGTGGGTAAAAATTGACTTACGACGTAGGCTCATCAACTGAGACACACGAGACTTTGGTCGGGCAGGCTAAATTGACTGAGAATGTCAATCTGCCCATTGGGTAGACCTGATTTTTTGAGTTTCTCTGAGCGCAACTAAAACGACGCATCTGTGCGGTTCGGGAGTACACAGATGTTCTTAAAAACTCACTGGGTCGGCCTTTCCACAAGGGAAGCCGGCAGTCATCCAGCATCACGATTCACGAGCTGCAGGATATGGACTTTTCGAGGGTGGAGCATACCAGACTTTGCCAGCTTGGGATCTCAGCTACTGCTTGGGTATGTTGCCGACATTACACAGCGGAGGAAGGACTGCTGCGTCAACTTCATAACAGGGTGCTCAATAATCAGCGCAATGCTTGTGGTGGAAACCAGAATCTATATATCTTCCAAATACATCTCATCTCAGCTGGGGGCACAGGAACAAAGAGGATTGTGCAAATCTCCAAGGGTGCAAAAAAAATCAGAAACTGACCTTGCAACTCAATCATGGCAAAAGCAAAGCACTGACGACAATCCAAAACATGAATCAGATTTCAAAGAAACGAAAGAGACAACCATATACAAGAGGATCGAGGGATCGATGCCGAAGAGAGTTTGGGCTCTCCCAGGATAGATGCGATGGAAGAGAAAGAGACAGGACGACCCCGGCATGAAACGAAATGTGGTCCTTTGAATTTCAAATCGAAACAGGAGCAAAGAACACGGGCAACTAAGTTTAAAAGATCCGGTCAAGATTGTAACAGAGAATACTTTTGCATATACCTGTATCCTACTAGACGGATCCAGGTGCACGGTGTCCTGAAGTGTCATTACCAGTGTACAATACTGCCTGTAGTTAATCAATATAAAATAATAACACGATTCGGACTTCTAAACTCTCGCGCCAAATCGGCACATCATATATGATAAGCCATTACTTACATGAAGCCTAACTTTTTGACTCTACACCATTTAAACAACCACTGTTCAACTTACAGTCCGTGCTTTTCATTAACGATTGAAACTGTGACTTTCTGAACTTCCCTATATATTATCCCGTCTGCGACCAGTCTTGAACAGCTACAGCAACTCCTAGATACATAGTCCCCAAACTGTCCCATGCGCCAAAATTGAAATTATGTAAGTAGTTTTTCTCGCATGCAGGGCATCGTGTACTTGTATTGAGGATAAAAGATTGGCCCATAGAAGATATTCCAGATCAAAAAGTCTGGTGGGCTGCTCTCGCACATATAGCCCACGATCTGCCTTGTTTGAGTCCCCAAGCTGGGCCATGTCTGCCTACACCAACAAAATCCAAAAGAAATCAGCCACAGCGCCCCAACATATAATGCGAGGCCATACTGGTTGGGTACGAGGTGTCGTACACCCGCCCGGCGGAAGGCGTATCATCACGTGTTCAAGCGATGGTTCACTCCGACTATGGGACTTGGAGAGCGGCACCCAGATGGGCGATAACTGGCGAGATAAAGGGGACGACGGAGATGATGGAGATCAAGTGTTCACGATCGCGCTGTCTCCAGTCGGCGATACTGTTGCAAGCGGAAGTTATGATGGGACAGTGAGGTTGTGGGACATAGAGACGGGGGAGGTCATCACTAAATGGAAAGGGCACAGAAAGCGTGTGCGATCTGTGTGCTGGAGCTCAGATGGTGAACGAGTCGTGAGCGGATACCACGACGGAGCGGTGACAGTGTGGGATGCCATGACCGGGAAAAGCGTCCTGGGTCCAATTGAGACTGGGCACGAACATGTGTTGGCGGTGATCTACTCGCCCGATACCACAAAGATTGCAACGGGAGGCTTCAATGAACATGCAATAAAAATCTGGGATACAAAGACAGGCGAGCTGCTTTCCACAACCAAACACGATTCGCATGTATCCAGCTTGGCATGGACGTCGAATGGAAAGAAGCTTATATCTGGGTCACAGAACGGCCTGATTAGAATATTCGACACTGCCACTTGGCAGCAGATTGCCGTTCTTGAGGGCCATCAAGATGTGGTCTTCGCAGTCTCCTTATGTCCGAACGACCGACTCCTTGCAAGCGCGTCATGGGATGCAACAGTGCGTCTGTGGAATCTTGAGACGAACCTTTCAGTCGGGTCTCCCCCCCTCCAGCACCAAGAATTCGTGGAATGCGTAACGTTTTCCACTGATGGAAAGCTTCTTGTCACGGGTTCCGCTGACCACGATGCGTACGTGTGGGACATTCACTGCCATCCTGAAAGACGCCGGTCTTCAAGACCTCCTTTCCGGTCCTGATGTAAGCGTGAACATATCATCCTTTCTATCTCACTGACATGGATTCCAATAGAAGGTATATAGTGTACCATGGCTCTTCAGTAAAGACTACGCTAATGTCCCACTCGCAGGTTACAGCTGTGAAGTCATCATCCAACGTATGTGACGTATTTCTCAACCTTTTCATTTTCATATCAACATTTCTAGCGCGGTGCTCCGCGACGTGCAGCTCAACCCAAGGGTGCCGGTCGACTACCCCCAGGCTTTTTCGATGACGCGAGAGAAGGCGCCTACGTGAGTTGCCAGTATTTCTTAATTAGTCTTGTTCTGACATTGAGCTCTCAGTCCTCCACGACGCGCGGTACCCGTCCTCATTTTTCTGTTCGCCGCCGGCCCTCCTCGGGGGTACTCCTCGGCCGCTTTTCTTCACTCTTCGGCCGCTCTCAACCCAACACCGGGGAAGCAACCAAACAGTCGCAACATTACCGGCGAACCATCTTTACTCGTCGCGGTCGTCGTGTCATCGAAGTTGCTGCAGTACGGGACAAACAAGTATTTCTTTCTTATATGTTCCCAATCACCGGCATCCAACAATTTATATACAGGCATTGTTCGTTGCTCGGCGGCCAGAACGACATAGCGACAAGGCACAGCAGCAGCGAGCTAAATCGCAAGGCCAAGCCCAGATGCAAACTCGGCGTGCTACTACCTCCACGTCTACGACTTCTCCAGCAACTGTGCAATCACGATTCATCCCATTGCTGGCTCGTATTGTACTTTTTATCTGCTGTGCATCTCCCCCACACGGCCGATGGTCATTAATACCATCTTCGCATCTAGTTCTTATCTTGCCGTACATCTCTCCCTACTCCGATATCCATTATCCATTTCTGTCTCAAACCTAACCCCCGCACTTTGCATATCAGTTTACACACATGGTGATATTGATGGCAAGCAGTACATATCAGACACTCGATTTATGCAAACGTTGAGTTCCCCCCGTATGCATGGACTACGGTAGGTTGGGAGTTGAACGTTGAACAGGGAGGTTAACGCAGTGGCACCCACATAACTTTTACACCACTCTGTCCAAGCGCTGAGCTTAGTTACAATAATATTTAGTCATCACAGAAAGAGTTTGAAAAACCGAAATATCATGTACAAAATACGGGCCTATAATATTAGATTGCCAGAAGTTCATTTTGGGTGTCATTGTCGACATGTCTGTCAACAGAGTAACGTCAACAAATTTACAACGGATCTTGCCACGGACCAAATACTAATACTAGAGTTATCACTGCCTGAAATGAGACCAGCACTGTCGTGGGTGAATTAATGTAACAATAGTAGGTATCCCAAGAGTTGTACAAGATGCTTGATGGCGACCTACTGTTAAAGATTGAGTTGAGGTCCACCTGACATATTATAATTATACCCTCCGATGCCTCTCCCGCAGATATATTCGACCTTGGGTCGTCCCTCCCACTCAGAAGCTTCCTACATTATCCAGCGCAATGCACGAAAGCCTCTCAAGGACTGTTTTAAAAGCGAGTTGGTCTTATGATGTACTGAGAAAGGTGAAAGCTATATCGGAAACATGAAACCTACCTTTTGGCATCAGAAGACTAGTGAGAAAGTTATGTTATCTTGCACACCATTACATGACAATATATGCAGAGCATGTCCTTTATTTTCGTCGCTAAAACCAATATAAAGTCATATATTACTAGGCAATGCCATGGTGTGAATGAACGTACTGATTCGCAGAGCGGGCTTAACAGAACATGTGAAGAGCTTAGGGTGTGTTTATCCACGCAAGCGATGGACGCGATGAGATATGTGTGCGACATCAGTGGTCAAACTCGGGAGTTAATCCCAGCGTCATTCTCGACGGCTCGGATATGTTAAAACAGTAACACAGCAGTGGATATCCAGACAGAGGCGTCAGCGAGATGCAGACCTGCCTAATTAAAAGCATGCGAACGACTGTCAGTGCCACCGTTGTGTTTAATTGTTAATCGACGCCTTTTGAGTTGGGCATACCTGGGTAAACACGCGGACTCGGAGAGGAGAGTGAGGGATCGTCGTTCTCCTTTACTTCATAAAAGGATATTCGCATAGCGACAGTGCTAGCAGTGCTATAAATGAAGATCCCATTCATGAAAGGACAAATACGTGCTGCATACCAATGAATATGCCAAGCTTGCAATTGATCGGGTTTTACAAGTACGCGCCTCAGGAATCGGCGAGTCTCAGTCTCCTTGTGTAGATATCCGAGTCCATGGCGGAGCCATTGCCAATGATGTGCTGGATGTTCTCACAGAACCAGCGAAAATGGCTACCATTGTGTCCATCCACATCCACGTCCGGACGATAAGACTCTCAGAAATCCAGAAAAGGCAAATGTCACTCATGAAGAGACTTCGGAGGCAATAGAATGTCATGGACTCTAAGCTCGTTCTGCCCTTGAACGTTAACGTTCTCTGAGCCCATTCCACTTCTTGCTAGCACTAGTCTGCCTAGACAACCATTGTATCCATACCGCTCTTGACGTTCTATATACTCTTGGTCGACATCAAGTATGGCCAGCAACCTTTACGAAACACTTGGCTTGAGCAGAGATGCTACTCCAGACCAGAGTATGTAGTCAAATACGCAATCATAGGTTGAGTCTTGCAAATTCACAACCCTGACCGCAGTTCGCAAGGCTTATAGGAGGAAAGCTTTAGAAACTCATCCTGACCGCTTGCCTCAAGGCGCTTCTCCGGCGCAGAAATCCGCATCAGAGGAGATGTTCCGTAAGGTAACATTTTCAAAGCGCTCATTTCTTCGAAACAAATTGAACTCATCAAGTATTTTAGGTCAATAATGCTTATGAAGTCCTCAGCAACCCAGACAATCGCAAGGTTCGTGTCGGTTGTACCATTTTATATTTTATTATAATTATCTTTCAGGCTTATGACCAATACGGAGTATGGCCGCCTCCAACTGCCCAGGAGAGTTACACTCAGGGCAACTGGCAACGTCCTACCAGAGAGCCCTTCCAAGATCCATTTTTTCAGGACCCCTTTTCCCGACATCCTATTTTTCGGTCGCAGTAATCAAGCAGACCCATCCTTCCCTTCACGTCATCCGCACTTCCATGATTTCACAGACCCTTTTATACTCTTCAATCAGATTTTTGGAGATCTCCATCAAGCCTTTTCGAGAGATCCCTTCGGTGATCCATTCGGCCATCGGGATGATGGCTTTTTTGGCCGAGGGTTCATGTCTCCAATGTCCATGCCTCACATTACGAGTTCGCCGTTTGGATTTCTCACTGGCGGAAACGTAAATGCATACAGCTCTTCTTCCCGTGGGGGATTCGCTGGTGGCCCGAACAGCTCTAGATGGGTTTCCGAGAGCTACACAACTTCTACAGTGAATGGCGTTACCCACACCAAAGCTGTTCGTAGAGATTCACAAGTAAGTGATGTTTACTTGTCTATCTCTATCTTGACTATCATTCGTTATTCATTAGGGTAACGAGCACGTCACCTACTCATTCCCGGATGGTACCGAGCGCCGCCTGATCAATGGTGTCGAGCAACCTTCAAACTCTAACCCTCCCCCATCTCATCATAACAACCGTGCCATCGCTGCACCGCCGCCAAGTCAAGACCCTCCTCCGCCATACGATACTGTTATCCCTCCCCCAGCTTCAGGATCCAGGCGCTCATCGCGGTCCATTCACTCCAGGTCCCGGGACTATGCAAGGCAACCCCAAGATCCCAACCCTACATACTCGATGCAGCCACAGGCGCCTTACGCCTCGCAATATGCGGATCCAAATTCATCTGGTGCGTACCACGGTCTGCGTGCGTTCAGGAACGCTGACTCACGGTCGTGTACCTCTTTTCCAGGACACCAGAAGAACAATAGGAGACATGCTAGCGCAGACGAGGCGCGAGGTGGGACTGCGTGGAACTTTTGGAAGTGAATGAAGCTATGATCAAGATGATGAAATTATTGTCTCCATACCTGGCCATTCACTTTGATTGCGGACGATTCTGCAATGTATTTGTTGTTTGTTTATTTATTTTCATTCTCCCAGTGTTGTACCCTCGTCCACTGTATGTTGTATTCCACTTTGCTACCTCCCTATGGAGAACTTGGTCATTTCTTACTGAGTAGTAAGGCTACTGACAATGGAAGAATTAACTTTGTTCATACACATCAAAAATTTCAAAATTTCGTTAATCGTTAATACATAATGCACCGCGATAAATTCAAAACCAATGCTGATACTTCAGTCTCACCACTCACAACCCTTCAAAGAAGGACAAATCTTGTGCAGTCAACCCACCCGTCTGGACCGGTTTTGCAGGCGGTCTCTCGGCTCGTGACGACGGTGACAACGATGCAAGTGACAACAACGGCTGGGGCAACGGCGCAGGCAGCGGAGACGGCGACAACTGAGGCACCATCGTAGACAGCACCTTCGGTGGCGGAGACCCAGACTTTGGCGCCGCGCCGCCGTCACTCAGCAGATCCATATCCCGACCAAATGAGGGAGAAGCAGACGGTGGTGGCAGCATGGGGAGCCTGGGATGCGCATTCAGTGGGGACGGCCACTGCCCGCGTTGTGTGGCAGCATGATCAAGCAGACTCTGCGTGCGTATGTGTATGGATGTGCCAAACTGCGAGCTTGGCATTGCTGCTGCTGCTCCAACCACCTTTGAGGGCTTTGCTGGGACAGGCGGTGGGGATGGCGTGCGGATCCGCGATGAAGTCACAAAGTCGTCAAAGTCGTCGAAAGACATTGACTTCGATGACTTGGCGGAGTGCAGTGCTTGTGTGGAGGATGGTGAATTGAGAGATGAATCCATGGACTCGCGTGGTGCTGGGAAGGGATCTGCGCGAGGGAGGGTTGAGAAAGCAGAGAATGAGTCGTCATCGTCATCGTCCTGATATGTGGCTGCTGCCCAGCTGGTGTTCGGGGATGATGCGAAAGAAGTGGCCCCCAGTACGGGATGCATGCTGGGCCGTGGGGTTTGCGGGGGTGAAACAGGGGGTGGCAGGAGTGGTGGTATCGAGAGTGCAGAAGGCGCCTTTGGTGGCGGCGGGAGTTGAAAGGGTGAGTGCGTTCTTGAGGATGGTTGAGGTGGCGAGGGTATTGCAGGTGGTATTATTGAGTTGGTGTAAGCAGGAAAAGTCGCATTAATCGGTGAAGATGGTTTTGGAGGTACCGCTGGGCTGTGCGGACGCGAGAACGACATCCCTGTCACTGGGGACAACGGTGGCGGCGGGAATAGAGCACGAGCCGAAGTATGCTGTGGAGAACCACGCGCAGGCTCCAGCGTAATGCCCAAGCCACTCAGACCGACAGAAGGAGGTCGGCTGGTGTTCACAGATGGGGGTTTTGGTGGCGGTGCGATTGGTGGTGGTGCGAGTGGGGGTGGAAGTTTTGTGGGCAATGGTGTTGAATTTGAATTTATCAAGCTCGACAGCGCTTTCAGCTGGGCATTGTCCGTGTCGTCATTGGGGTCATGTGCACTAGGCACAATATCGGAAAGGAAATCAAGGTCGTCTGTTGACAGGGCCATAGACTTGCGCTCAGATCCAATGCCTTTGACACGTGAGAAGCGGTTCAGAAAGCGCGAAACGGCTGATGGCGCAGGTGTGACCACTGGAATCACGATATCAGGAGCTGCGGATGAGCTAGCTTCTGGGGATGAGGGCATGAAGACGGCTGGAGTGCGAGCGGGGGAAGCATCACGTTTCTCTGGCGCCTGGGGCTTCGTGCTCTCGACGCTAGAACGCGAGGATACGGGTGGTGGTCGCGCGTTTTCTACCTTTGCATCTGCAGAAGGTATTGATGATGATGCCTTGCGGTTCCAGAACGAGAGTAATCCTGTACCAGGTTTCTTGGGATGAGTTGCATCAGCAATAGCAGCGCGCTCGTCTTTCTCTAGGATTCGCCACCCCACAGGAGCATCATCCACAGTAATATCTTTCCTAGCTTTGACTGATTTCTCCCAGTCCGTCGACCCTTTGGAACTAAGGAGAAGGGCCATCGGGCTCTTACGTGTCAAAGGCATATGCCTCGTGAGCTTGAGCGCGTCATTTACCGCTTTCGCAGTAGCAGTCTGTGAGAACTGCATTGGAGGGGACACAGTCATGTCATCAGGGACCAAGTCGTTTAATAAAACCGTACTGATGTAAGAGGTATGTAAATTGCACCGTAGAAAAATACCAGGTTATGTACATACATGTTCTCAAGTCCATCGAGGCCAGTCCTCCAGTTGCTAGCATCCGAGTCGGACTCTGTCCCTGGCCAGAGCTCATCGGAGACTTCCTGGCACTTCTGAATGAGAGCTGCCATCATTTCGGGAGGCTAAACACTAGTTGGTTAGTTACGTCGACACACATAAACACCATTCATACCACTGCGCGGTTCAGCTTCTCTTTCTCTTGTCGCGCCGATTCCCATTCATCCTGTGGCTCTTCAGCGCTGACAGACACCTCCGGTGCAAATGTATCCACCCAGGCGGTACCCCAGTCGTCACCATCATCTGTTGAGAGGTTTATTGGGTCTGCCCATGCTTCACTGTCATCCTCGGTTTCCTCCTCTTCCTCCTTGACAGACGCGCCAGCTTCAAAATCACCATCTACATCAGGAGTGTCTGGAAGTCGGGGAGTAAGATCGATTGTTGGTAGCACTGGGTGAGGCCCCACGGAATCTGGCGGAGCAAGTACTACAACAGTTGTCTTCTTCGCTGGCTGTGGCAGCTGCGGGTACGGGACATACGGCTTCATCTTGAGTCTCTGAATCAACAACCGCTTCTGTTATTCTTTGACGAGAAAAGTTTATCTTTGCGTACGTCGAAGAGCCCCACGCGCCACTATCATCGATGGAAGAGGTCCAGAGAGCGTCGTTAGTGTGAGATGATTCTGGCCATTGGGTATTGTTGCTTGCGGACCATGATGGAAGTCCTATATCTTCCTCTTGATCCTGAGTTTTATTACCAACGGTATGAGTCCAGGCTGGTGTCAGAACGGGTTTCTTTCGATTGTTTGACTCATCGTCTGACTGCTGCCAGGATGTGGCCCAAGGGTTGTCCATAGCAAGTCGAGCCGGTTCAGGCTACCACTGAATGAGAATGTTTCAGCTGTTCACTCACGACACTGGGCGGACTCCAGTTTGTCCAGGAGGCAGCTATACATACCCTGAAGGCTGATAATATGTCGAGCTCAAAGTGAAAGTATGAATTGCATGACATAAGTTGTGGGGGGTCGTGGGAATACTCAAGTTCAAGTTGTTCTAGAACGTCTCCCACTAGGTCGAGATCGCGCAAATTGGCTGCTCAGCGCTCGGGCCTCAGGACTCAGTATTCAGTATCGACTTCGGCCTATTTCATATAATACGGGATGCTAATGTCGACGATCTGTTCTTCTGAAAATCAAGATAAGATGGAGCTGAACAAGGACGTACATTTTCTCGGTACCATCGGCGGTGTCGTTGTGGCGAAAGCTCAGCTCATCAAGGCTGTATACGATTGTGTTCATGGATTCATAGGAGCCTGGTCGACTCATCGAGCGACGCCCTGCTGGTGAGTGCAACTATTGACCTTGGCTTCAGAACATCACCCATCATTGAAGTGGGGGTCCATTATCATGAACGTATGCGCTGGATAACAGACACAGCAGATTTACATCATGGAATTGGCGTAAACAATGCGTTTCGCTGCTGCACAACAGGGGTTTTCATAGGTTTTCATATGGAGCTTTATAAAAACTATCCGTGCTCCGAGAGCCAATCGCGTACAGTAAGAACTACAACCATACCCCACAGAATTTACTAAAGGAAATCTCTATTTTAGCATTCACGACTTAGGATCGAAGACAGCCCGCGTTTTAATTCAATCAACCCCGCGGCGACGATATACTTAGCTGTTACGGTTGTCGCAGAATCTACTGGAGATTTGGACGATTTCGGTACGACTGTTATAGCTAAGTACGTATCAAAGGAAAGTATGTTCGAGTGCAGGTCCTCAAGGCCTCACTTTTGACTGTAAGCTGGTCGCTGCCAATGAATCTTAGAGATAATAGCAATATGCGCCTCCTACATATATATGAATTATGAATATTTTGTTTGGCAAATAGTAAGTAATAAATTTATGTAATACGTGCCAAAAATGGCATGTGGAAAGTGGCTAGATTCATTTTTGGCACGTGGTAAATAAGAGTTGACTGGCGGTGTCAGGTCTTCTCGGAGTCTGCCAAGCTGCTCTTGTCTGATCCCCCTTAGCATTCAGTATTCAGCCGCGGCTGTCTTCGCCATGGCCATGGATATTGCCAACGGTGAACGTAGTATATTGGATTGGGATGAAGACCATGTCCACCGATGGCTTTCAAGTCTTGGTTTTCCGCAGTATGAAGCTCAGATCAAAGGTGCTACTCGTATCATTTCCGAAGGTTCAAACGTTAAATACATTCCATATATCAGAGCACAATATATCCGGTGACGTCCTTTGCATGCTAGATGCGGAGAATCTCAAGGCAGTCGGGATAAGCACAGTGGGTCAGAGATTGGCCATCCTTAAAGCCGTCTATCAGGCTAAGCTCGCCTACCATGTGCCCGTCGAGGCCGATCACTACATTCCTCCTTGTGCGCACTTCTGTGATGACCACTACTTCAAAACATGACTTTTATCTCTAGCAGAAGCGCAGGAACGCAGTGTAACGGTGGAGAAGCTACACGACCTCGTCAGGGAACAAGGTCTGTCACAATCAACTTTTCCATATCATGGAATTGTGCTAAAATCATTCCGTGCAACAGCGCAAAAAGTTCATTCGCTTGAGGAAGACAACAAACGTCTGAATGAAAGATTTCAACTGCTTGTTGAAGAGATCAGCCATGCTCCACTGAAGCGACAGCCCTCCTTCAAGTGGGCTCAGTATGTCAACCCTGCCAAGTCACCAACCAAACCCGATGTTGAATCTCCCCATCCTTCCCCCCAACAAGTGGACCCTGATAGTTCTCATAGTCGCGGGATCCAACAAAATCAATCCCACAAGCATCCACCAGCATCTGTAGAGTCACCTGTGCAACCGTCACCTTCAACATCATCGTCCCGACCAAGCCGGCAAGACAGCACTGATAATCTCAAGAGTTTCAAAGTCAGTTTAGAGGACCCGACGTGGAAAGTGCTTCCCGCCGCCCTTAAGAAGTACAAGATCAACAACGATCACTGGCAAAATTATGCCATGTTCATATGTTACGGCTCCCCTGGTAAGCAGAACAGTTCTCACAAACAAAAATGCCCCAATTGGTCTGCAGGAAACCGCATCGAGCGATGTCTCAGTTACGATGAAAAGCCTCTTCTACTCTTCCAAAAACTCAAAGACGCAAAGAAGAACCCTGTTTTCATGCTCAAGCACATCAAAGACATCCGTTCTCCCATCGCTGTCGCACAGCAAAAACACGCGTTGCGCAAGGCGTCCGTTGCATCTGAGTCATCATCTAGCCCATCAAACAATAAGTCTTCATCGGGCAGGGCAACCACGCGACCACCAAGATTGGAAGTTAACGACATCACACCTCCCGCACCCTTGTTAACAGGCACCACACCACAAGCTGGATGGCCAGAGGTCATGTCGCCGGTACTGGAGAAGCAAGAGCAGGAGGTTGTGAATAACCGAGACACATGTTCAACTTCGACGACACTCGTTGGCCATACGAGCACCATAGAGGCTCCAAAAACACGCACTACGAACACCGCTGACGCTGATACAGCGAGGAGGGAGATGCCTCCACCAATGTCTGGAGTATCATACGCGGTTGCAATATACCCGTATATGGCTGAGCAGGAAGATGAATTTGACGTGGTTGTGTAGGTATTTTTCCCCTATCTAGCGTTGGCTATACTCAAGTCTCATCTAGTGGTGATACATTCGTCATTTTATCGCGCGCACGAGGGTGGTGGGTGGTACAACGGGACCCGACAGGTTCGGGTGTGGTTGACACCGACACCTCAAAGCAGGGCTGGGTACCTGCAGGTTGTCTGCTTGAGACAAACGTCCCAGTTGCATCCGCTATTGCAGAGGCTACCGCACTTTCCAAGGCAGCAGGATCCTTAGAATTGCCATTAGCAGCTGATTCTAAGACGCCCATCCTCCCCTTGAGCATCATATCGACGAGTTTCCCAGGAGTAGCCCTTATGGACTACAAGAAGAAAGGCGAAGAGGAGTTGGATCTAGTGAAAGATGATGCGCTAAGGGTGTTCAAGAAGTACAATCACTGGTCATATGTAAGTCATAGTTTGCTGTCTATGATATGCAGCTCACTTGCTATGCAGGCCGTCAAAGAAGATGGCGGTGATCGAGGATGGGTACCTGTGCGTTTACGTTTTACGTTTTTATAGGGCCTCACTAACCTCCTTGCCACTTTCTAGTCATGGTTCATTGGCAAAGTGCCTACCCCTGGCGCGGCACCACCGACGCCGAGTACAAGCTCCGCTCCCGCACTCAGCAGTGGACCCTCCGTCTCCCTCGATGCTGAGGGTGCGAACCAAAATCAGGTTTCACCAATGTCCTCCGCCTTCCCCGTGCAACATAGAAGCGGTGTTATATGATGTCTCCACCACAAACTGACAATAGCTTCTTTCATGTACATTATTCCATCCTTCACTACTGATATTTTCTCACTCTTGGTTCCTTATTGGGTTGCTTTGTGGTTGATCTGATCGCGATGCTCTTCATCATTCCTTAATACCTACGCATACTTACACATAACGCATGGTCATACTTTGTCGCTCTCTTATCTGCCAAGCACGCAATCATATCTAGCAGTGGAACTTGCATCAACATGCAAGGAATGTGGTGTCACCGATGTGCACACTCGGATCATGATTGAGTCTGCAACCTCACCTACCAGGTAGAACCAACATACGCTGCTGTCGCAATTGCAAATCGAGTGGTTGGATTGATGCTGTTTTAATTTTTGTTTGCGCCACATGAGAATTGCGCAACAAGGATGGGACGACCCTTTCTAACAACAGTGCCTGCCAGTTTAGGTAACTGACAAAACCCGGCCTCCATCACAAATACAGTATTGTGTTGGCCTCAACCTCTACGTCCTACATAATAGTGTCCCCTTCGGGGTGACATACGAAAAATTGGAACGATACAGAGAAGATTAGCATGGCCCCTGCACAAGGATGACACGCTTTCCCGGAGTGGTAGACCTACGGGTCTCAATATTTATTTTGCATTTCATTAAGAATGTTTTGCTCTCCAACGCTGGCCAGTAAAAAAAGGTAGATAGGTGTAGATAGACGTCTAAGTACAAATTTGTGACGGCAAAGCTCTAATTTTGTGCAAAAGGCAAGCATGTATTAGATTCCGAGGTGTAAGGGTCTCCGGTAATTCAGGAGGCAGCTGTAACATGGTCAGACTGCCGCCCGCATAACCGTTACACCAAAAGGTGAAATACTGAAAGCTTAGCTTTCAGCATCAGCGACAGTATATGTACTGATTATGGGAACTCAGGTAAGCCGGCGTGCTTACAGCAGCGAAAGACATGGTATCTCTGGGCCATTTGCGCTGGTTTTGTATCAGTCGGTCTGAGCAAAAACAATGGTGTTACAAGCTTGCAAACCACGATCGAGCTCGTTAAGATGACTGATCTGAGAGTTACCAACATATGCGCTACTTCGGAGATAACCGAATTCAGTACTTGGACTGATTGGCTACCAAAATAGTTTTACAATCGTACCATCATGGTGTCTGCAGATTTCGCTGAACGGCCAGTCAAGAAGCTCGTGCTGTTCGATGTCGATGGGACGTTATCGCCCGCACGTCAGGTAATCCAGCTTCCCGACGACTACCACACTTGATGTCGAGATTTCCGACAGAGGGCATCTCCGGAAATAATTCAGCTCTTGCGCGAACTCAGAAAGCAGGTCGCTATAGGCTTTGTTGGCGGGTCTGATTTCGTCAAGATATCTGAACAGCTCAGTGTTGGTGATATCAATGGTACAAAGCTTGTTCCCATTGGCTGCTAAGATACTCATACGCATTCGTAGTTCTGGAGGAGTTCGACTTTGGGTTCGCTGAGAACGGCCTTACCGCGTACCGACTTGGAAAGCCGTTGGAGTCGCAGTCCTTCATCAAAATGGTAGGCGAAAAGGACTATCAGGAGCTGGTCAACTTCATCTTGCACTACATTGCTGACATGAACATCCCGATCAAACGGTAAATTTCTATGATCCTTGGCTGTCGATCAGTTCATTCATTTGCAAATTGCAGTGGAACGTTCGTCGAGTTCCGCAATGGCATGATCAACGTCAGCCCTATTGGTCGCAATGCAACGTAGGTTCACTTACGTGCTATTCCCTGAACCTGTGTTAACACCTCTGGGCTCCACAGTGTCCAGGAACGCAATGATTTCGCGGCTTATGACAAGGTAGTGACGTAAGAAAATTATTCGTGATCATACTCACTGATTCTCGGCAGGAACATCACGTTAGGGCCGACTTTGTGGATATCCTCCGGGAGAAATTCAAACGACTGAATCTAACGTTCTCTATCGGTGGCCAGATATCATTTGATGTCTTTCCACACGGGTGGGACAAGACTTACTGCCTTAGACATGTGGAGAAAGATAACTTCGAAGAAATCCACTTTTTCGGGGACAAAACAAACAAGGTAAGAGTCGAATGTCTTGCTAGCGAATTTTTCGTTCCCTTGACAATTTCTGTAAAGGGGGGTAACGACTACGAGATCTTCAGTGATTCTCGCACTGTCGGGCATACTGTTAAGAGTCCTGCAGATACGATGAGAATTTGCACAGAGCTCTTCCTGTCATAGGCCGCTCGACGTAAGTTCGAAAATTTCATGAAGTTGTAAATTCAAAGCCCATGGTCTCGCGTAAATTTGGGGATAACAGTTACAACTACCAATGATTCTTCGTTGCTAGGTACATGGACTGGTTTATAGATGACCATTGTATGTTGGACTTGTGGACGAATTGTGTACATAGTGAACAAATACGACCATATGTGTTTCTATCATCCCCTTCAAGTCTTGTTACTACATCGTCTATTGCTCGGCACGCTTGTGACACGCCATTGTCTGTAGTTTTCCTCTCATCTGAAACGTGACAGTGGTTGGCCCGACGAATTTCACATGGCAAAATCAGCCAATGATGCGCACGCGATAAGGACCAGAGCGCTTCAGCATCACTGATTGATATGTGACCTGCCAGTCTAATGTAAATATCATCATTGGATTACAGACTACTCTATGTCCATACATACTACCACACTATGTTGCTTTTCAAACAGGACATACAAATTTGCCAAGGATTCTACATATCATGCTTACCTGCGAAGTGAAATGCGTTAGCATAGGGACGGACAACGCGGGCTTCGACACCGGGGACGAGAATTCCGGTAGAGCCAGGCTTGTTTTTGGCGCGTCCATCGAGCATGCCAGGGATGGGCTTCATGGCGATGGTCATTGACAATATTTGATGTCAGCGAGCTGGAAGAAGCACATGGGGACATCACTTCCGAATTCGGACAAACTGTAACCTGTGAAGATTAACAGTAGCACCAGGGGTTTGCACGCGATATATGGAGGACGCACCTTCAGTAACTCTTGGTATGTCTGTGAAAGGAGCGCAAACCTAGTCGGCGAGCTGGGGGTGAGAGGTACGCGTTGCCGCTTGCAATTGTCTTAACATATCAACAGCTTTGAAGTGTGGATAGTGCACGAGCTGGCGTAGAAGGGAGGGGACGAGGAATATGGTATCTACATTCCAGCTTAATATGGGCACCAGAAGTACTGCAGGACACGCCAAATGCTCTTTGTATTTACTTACTTCGGAACGCTGTCAAAGAATACATTTATGTCCCATTTCGGAAGCACGACAATCATGGAGGGTTTGAAGAAGCTGAAGAAGCTGGTCGCGTAAAGGCCGGGAGCGACAGAGCGGAAGGACATGAAAGATTACTTGCAGCCCATCAGGGGTGTTCCATATTGATGGTTAGCAGGGGGAGTCAAGGAGACCTAGAAAGTGGCGTCGGAAGACATACAGCCTGAGATTTAGCCATTCCCATACTATTTACCACTGTTAAGGGGGTGGCAGGATGCTGACGGAGTACGCGTTCAACTTTATACCACGACTCAGACACACACATATTTACGATAGATAAGCGGGAGTAAGCCCCCCGCGTAAAGGGCTATGTCCGACATAGGGTCTTCGACCCCAAAGGATAATAAATCTGATTTTAAAAAAGAGGGTGGCAGGAGTGAGATTTCCGTGGCATGTCATGACGGCTGTACAATAGTCAGACGGTGCGTCTGTTTTTGCGATTCGAAACCGAGACTATACTTTCGGGAGGGTCACCTGTTCCACTGGAATATGTAAATCCGATCTGCTAGGAGACCCGAAGTCAAAGCGAGTTGCAGTAACAAGGACTGGCAAGATCCTAGTCGCCTGTGCGAGCGAATTGGCATGTTTGAACTCGTACAGTGTTGAATAAGATGAGAACAGTGCAAATGGGACGGTGATAATCAATAGGGAATGTAGTAGGGCTACATAGTCCTGAAAAAAAAAATTGTCAATTTACAATCTCGACTGAACAATGAGATGCAGCATACTGGGAAGTTCTCGCTCTGAGTGCCTACCAGATCTCCATTCTCTGGATGAAGACTTGGGCTACCTTGCGACACATCAGCACCAAGTGCAGTAGCGCCATCGCGGACACGCTCAACGAACTCCCTGAACGAACAGCGCTGGCCAGTAGCCACATTCACGAACATCATGTAATCTGGCCACCCCCGCTGGTCAGGCAGGTTGAAGAGTAGGTGGTCAACATTAGATCCTGGGACCTTTGTCAGGTCTGGAGAACGACTTGTGGTACATGCTTGACAACCGATCCCCGAGGCTTCAGCAGTGATCTCGACTGCGGCTGAGAATATGAAAGGTTCTGGCTTTTTATTCAATGGTATGATGGAGCCGGACTTGTACGTTTGAGAAACGGATGGCGTTGCCCGTCAATAGATGAAGTTCTCGCAACTTAGAGAAGCAAAGTAGAGGCTTGATGGTATCTATATCAATGGGTGCACCCGGGAGAGAGGACTTCAGTCGAAGAAGTTGCAGGGATTCATGCCTCCATTGATTTGACAAGATACTGAAAACCACCTCCAAATCTTCAGGTGATGATGCATGGCTCGTCGTAATACGCAAACGAGAAGGTGAGAATTGGACCGCCTAATAAATGCACCGATGGTAGTCAGCCAAACGGAATTCATCCTGAAGCTTTTGATACGGGAAAAGGGTGGCATTCTAGGAAGAGTAGGATGCGGAAACTGTGAAAAATTGTACGCATGGTCATTCGGGATACTGATGTCCAGTTCGGTCAGCGATGAGTGCCATGCAACGAATGTGATTGCCGCTTGACTGAGTTGATCGCAATGAAGCGCCTGAAGATGAGGAAGACTCATAATGACATTTGACACAGTGGCCACGAGGGGTTCGTGAGACTCGTAACCGAAAAGACGGAAAGATGTTAAATGGGGGCATGAGGCGGGAAGAGGTGAGATAAATGAGATATCGGGAAAGCCGGCAGGATCAACCTCGACAGTAAGATCTGTCAGGGATGGCACAAAGAAAATGTCCAGGAGATGGTAGTCCTCGGGAATGACGTGGCGGTAATCAAGTCGCTGCAAGTTTGGGAGGGGCGGCTGAGCGACAGGTGATTGCCGAAGAGCCCTCAAGATGTTGCGATACAAAGGTGCCTCTAGATGGAATGTCAAAGACCGGACTCGCGGTACGTATTTCTGCATGAACCTCCCAATCCCTAGTGGTCAGAGCGTTCGTGCGATACTAGCAGTAGTCAGCTGTTAGTTCTCAGTAAGAAAACTCTGTCGTTATAGACCCTACCTCAAGACACCACGAGTCATTACTCGGTGAGTACGGCGAACAATAAACCAAGGGGTGTGGAAAGTATAGATCTCCCCACAACACATTCAAGCGGGTTCATGGAATGTTTGGCATGTCCTAGCAAGAGCCGCATGCCCAACATTTCCTCCTGGTTCACATTTCAAAGAGGGCTCATTTACGTGGCGGAAGATCACGTAGGTGATGTCGTTCAACTGCAGAGTGGCATGCATGGTGAAAATATGAAAACTATAGAAAATATTAAAGAAAGGATGCGATTATCGATAGAAGCTGACTGCGCTTGCACTGAGCTAGAATCGGCCAGATTCGCTAATACTGCGATCCTCGACATGGTGGGTTAAGAAGTACTATAACCAGTATACCCACGGATATTTTGACTGACCACAACGTTGAACGTGAGCATGAACCAAATGCATGAGCTGAACGTATCTTTAGAGCATCATCTTCTTGAAGTTCTAAATGCTCTTCTGACTATCTTACCCGACGACCTGGCTGCAGAATTGTCAGCCTTCATATCATCATCATCATCATCATCATCAAGCACTCTCATTCCGTACTACATTCTCCTCAAGATATCCCAATGGTCTCGCTCACCAGCAGGCCTCAAAGCCCTGCAGAGTTCTTCGCTGGATCCTCAGTCTTATTCCATGGTCTCTCTGCTTGCTGGCACGCGAACATCACCAGAAAAGAAGTTTCCTGCATATGTAGCAAAAGATCCAGAAACTGAGCGCCGTCAGGCAGCAAATGACAAGAAGGCGGTGTCTACGGTCGTTAATGGGGTCCTCAGTGTCGCAGGAACCGGGTTTGCAACGTGGTGGGCAAGTGAACGTGCGGGCATGCGCCTTGAATGGGTACGAATCTTCCGCTTGGTGTTATTTGATGCTCATACATGTCTATCCAGAGAGCTTTGTTCGCAACGTCCGTTGCTCTCGTTGTTGCCCTTGCAGAAATCATTCTGTACATGATATGGGACTCTCGTCGATCAACCAAGAAAACAGAACGTGCTCCGCGCATACTATCAAGGAACGAGAAGCTCGTGGAAGACTCGGACAAAGCTGACATAGTGGATGCCACTGCAGCTTCTTCCAGCGCAGACCCTCATCACTCTGCATTACGCCAACGCCTAGTTCAATCTGCTTCCATTCCTCACGACACTTTGCAGGAGTAACATGAGATACTCTGTCTCCCACTATCTCTGCGGGCCAGTGTAGTGCGACAGTATCTCACATGTCATCCTGTGAAGTTAACAGCGCCTCAGTATACGCTGTAGAACAGATAGGCAGCAATGAGTAAAGATCATACGTGATAAATATGTCGGCTGTGTCTCAAAAGATAAACATTTGGTCGAAATCAGAAAAGGAGTCATACGCCAGGTATGTGCCATGATATGAAAGCCACGATGCTGTGGAGTATGATTAGCCGGCTAAGAGTTGTACAGCACCAGCACCAGCCCAGCGAGCCATTAGCCCTTCTTTGTCTTCCTTTTTCTATTCCCCGTGCTACTACTCGTGCCAGAGGCAGGTGGTAATTCAACAGTGCCTCCAGCTGCTTCGGCACTCGCGCCGTCCTCCTGCTCGATCTTCGCCCGAGCTTCCAAGAAGAACATGACATCTCTGACCTGATCCTGAAGATCATCGATCTTAGCCTGGTACTCCTGACGCTGCGCCTCCGATTGTGCAGTCGTCTCCTTCATTTTAGTTAGATTCCTCAAAAGTCCCTCACTAACGGCCTTCTCTTCCTTCAATTCTTTTTCAAACTTCCTTGCGAGCTCTGCGACGCGTTCCGCTTTCTTTTCTGCCTTGATCTTGTCCTTGTATACCTCGTTTAATTTTTCTTCCCCCTCTCGACGACATTGTGCTTCACGTTGCTTCGCTTCTGTCTTGTCCTTTGTTAGGTCTAGACTCAGCTGTTCTACCAAATTTCGCAGCTCTTCCACCTGTGTCTTCAGCTCAGTTGTCTGCTCTTCATAGAATAACCGCTGCGAATCCAATTGCGACGTGAGCAGATAGGAATATTCAATTCCAATTGCCTCGATCTTCTCAGCGCTGAGAGAGTCTGCATGGCTCGGACCTAACGTGCCGTCATCCCGGGAATTGACACCCATTGAAGACGCAGCGGAAGGAAGCTCGACGAGTTTACCATCTGCTTTGTTCTGAATGAGACGATGAACATATCCATCGCCCGCGTAGTCCCACACGCGCTGCGTTTCAAGCTCAAGGGCATAGAGATGGGTTGTCTTTTCGTAGTGCGCGTGTGCATGAGCACGGCCATAGCGCCCACAGCCAATATTGCCGCATATCAGACAAATCCATAGGTTCGTGGTGGAGGAACAGTCAGCACACGTAGAAAGAGAAGTGGTGGCAGCATTTGCAAATGGGATGGGTCGTGAACGCGAGGTGGATGAGGTAGGATGTGAGGAGAGAAGTGTTTGCGAATATCGACAAACAGGGCATCTGGTGATGATCATAAGTCGTTGATAAGGAACTGCCATAAACAGTAGCATACCGGCTGTCGCCCCATTTACTGAGACACATGCAATGGAATGTATGCGAGCAAGGGACTGTGATGAGACCAGTGACAGCTGAATCCATCCTTTCCAGACATACGGGGCAGGTCGGGAGTTCATATACTGATTGAGGCAGACGCGCAGTGGTAGAGGAGGAAATAGATGTGTCTGAATCTATCTCGACAGATAGGACACGCACGATATGACACGTCTCGGGCTGTAATAATACTCAGTATCAAGCTAAGAGAAGTGTTAACCACCTACGTCCATGGAATTGAATGGTTTGCCGTTGTATGCTTCTGCAAATTCAAGGGCTTGATCGGCCTGCCGGAACTTAATGACAGCGATAGAGCGATTTGGAACGGAGTCTCTGGAAATATCCCATAAGCCTCAGAACGAGAATGATGGGATGTAAGTGCACACCGGATGAGACGAAGGTGAGCCATACCCTCCGCGGCGGGTGCCACAAAAGCGAGGAAGTCCGAAGGTGTCATCCATGCAGGAACTGCTAGTACACCAAGCATGAGGCCATCTTCTGGGACGGTCTCGCTTGCACTTGCGGCAGAGGGTTCATTAGACTCATCCGCACCATTCTGTCGCCGTTCGTTACATTGGCGGTACACATGAACTGTGCCCTCAGGCAAATTCGTTGAACCGGACTTCGATATCGTATTAGGGATAAACTCTGCTGTCGAAGGGCCTGAATAAAACAGATGGCTTGAACTCATGTCCGCGAAATATGTAATTACTCGCACCTCGCCCTGCTTGTTTCTCTTTACCAGCATACATAGTAGAATTCGCACTCTCAAAATCAATCCAGTCGAGCCTTATTGGACCGAACCTGTAATCCTTGTGAGCTGGGTTGAATAAAGCGTTCCTCCTGGCAGTTGGTTTGGGGCGATGTAACGGTAAGTTTTGAAATAAGGCCTTCGGTGTGAAAGTGTAGACAGTGTCAGGATGCGACAGTGATTCATCAATAATATTATTTCTGTGCAATGCAAGTCGGATATGATAGCCGTTTAACATACTGTGGGCTTTGGAAATGAGCCCATTGATATCGCGTGATGTAAGATGGCAACGTGCACGAGCGCTCGCTCAGCGAGGCTAGTCAGCTGTGTCGCGGACTCAAGCTATGATCATAGCCACCCCACCTTCAACAAAGCTTGTTCCTCATCCAGATTAGAAGGAACGGCCATCTCTCTTCGCCTTTAAAGGGTTGTCTAGAGACTACATCCAGATGGACTCCGACCAATATTTGCTCAACGTCCGGTTTTGCGAGATCTGTGCTGGCTGTCTCAGCAAGAGTGGCAAGGACAGTGTCCCATATCTGACCAGGGCACTTGATACGATCGCTAGTGATCTTGCAAAAGATGGAGACCTGAGGTGAGACCGTAATGCACCTTCCATGAGAACTCGATATTAAAAAATCAGGATTCGTATGGGGTCGGAAAATCCTTCGATATGGCCGTCCCTCCAACGGCTGTGGAATTTCCTTGCAGACTACCCCTCAGCGGATGCGGATGTCGCAGAATTGCGCGTCCTCGTAATAAGCGTCGCCAGATTTACTAGGAACATTGTCGCAGGCGTTGCAGCGAACCAGCAGAATGCATTGTGAGCCTGAAACATGTTAAATGATGCTGATATCCTAACGGCCTAGCGAGCTTCAAGTGCAGTCGAGCCAGCTCTTCGCCGTGTTCTGCATCTGTACAGCTCCTGGTCTGCATTTCAAGTTACGGAATGTGAGTCACCCATTCTGCAGCACCCATGTTAATTTAAATCGGATTCCACTCTCATCTACAGCTTTTCCAGCTACTAGGATGGCCGTTCAGGCACTCTCAAACATTGTTACCACCAACGAGGATCTCACGTCCCGCCTTTGGAATTCTTATCTTACTCTACCTGAGGAACAGGTGATTCTCATGTAAGCCACCACAGCTACTTGCTGAGCTACAGGAATTAACTTGTTCCTTTGAAACAAATCCAGTCGCTTGCTCGGCTCCCCTGACCATAAGACCATCCTATCACTCTTGATACTTATGGTAAATTGTATTCACGACAGCACTGAGCGTCGGTGCGTAACGTCTCGCTTCTGTTTACCGTTTACCGATTCCTTTTGTATTCTGCATCCAGTTCTTTACTCACAAAATCACGTGGAGGGGCCCGAATATGCACAACGCTTTTGGACCGTGTGGTCCTATTGTACGATGCGGAGGAATCCACCGATGGCGCAAAGGCGTTTGACTATGGGTAACTGTAACTGGCGTGTTGTGAAACTTTATAACGACTTTCTTTAATAGGTATCATTTGTTTGCCCACTTATTTGACGGCGGTTTTGCACCAGATCTGTACAACTCTTTGTCTGTGTACGTGTAATACTCTTATCCCACGCAGACAAGGTACTCATGCTCTGAGGCAGTGAAGGGGAGGTAATTGCGCAGCACCAGACTACTCTTCTGAAACTCCTCGACTCATACTTGCAATCATCGCAAATATGTCCTATACATTGCGATATGTGCCCTATGCTGTCGGAAATCTTCTTCTCGCTCTCGTCATATTCGCAGTTAGCAATTACACGAGCTATCAATCCCACCAATTTGGAGCCTTTGGATGGTTCCATCGAACACCTGCAAGAACTTGATTTATTACTGCCCAAAACGTGCGAGGCACTCGTACTAGCAACTCAATGTATTGTCAAGATTTCATTACTATCCGAGGACCAGCGGACTGTGGATTCCTCTGCTGTAGATTTACGAGCGATCTTCCGAGATGCCAGCTCAACTGACAGCCAGGGCATCGCTGAGAGTATTATAGGCATGTCTAGGTTGTCGAGCCAGATCAGAACATATCACCTGACTATGTTTATTCAGAGCTCCTGCGGCTTCTTGATACGTTTCTTCCACGCATTTATTTTGGCAAGCCCGTCGTTGATCCCACGACAGATCGAAACATTCCATCGTCAGTCGCAGGACCCAATGGATTCTCCTACTTAAAACGAGATCTTGTCCGTTTGGTCGGGGTGCTTTGCCATCGAGATAAGACATTCCAGGACCGCATTAGGATACGTGGGGGCATTCCCATTATTATGAATATGTGTGTTGTGGACGAACGTAATCCGTGTATGTCACTTTTTTCTGTGAGAGCGCACGAGATCTCACGACCTTTAATCTCTAGATCTTCGAGAACATGCTATATTAGCACTTCGGAACTTGTTGGACGGTAACATGGAAAACCAGGACGAAGTGAACAGCATTCAACCATCGGGATATTGGGATGAAACGGGCGTGCTGCACGAGAAGGTTGGAGCTACGCTAAGATAATCAGTTGTCAAAACGTCATACCATGAGTAATTTTACATAGAACAATGAATGAAGACAGGTGGTCACAGAATTACTCCTCCTCGTCGTCGAGCGCCATCGTTCTCTTTTTTCGTGCGCCGGACCCGGCTTTCCGAACCCTATGCTCCTCTTCCTCTTCCTCGCTCTCAATGTCCATGTCTTGGTCACCATCATCTCCCCCTGCTTCTACACCATCTTCAGCAGCTTCTGTGGTCCCCCCATCGGTTTCGATGTCATGGTGTTTCCGTTTCCTATCATCTTGCTGGCGCTGAATAATTTTAGCATCAAGCTGATCCAGAGGATCCTCTTCCTCCTCCTCTCGGTGTTTCCGTTTCTTCCTGGACCTAGCCTCACCATCAAACTCCGCATCGTCGTCTGACTCATCCGCGACCACGAAATCATCCTCTTGATATTCGCCGGGACCCCTTTTCTTTTGTTCATCTGCCTTCCGTTTGGTAGCACCCAAATCGTCTTCATCTTCTGAGCCTTCATACTCTGGTTCTTCATCTTCCGACCAGATATCGTGTCCTTGGCGTTTCCTCGATTGACCATACCTCTTTTTACGTATACCAAATCCAGCATCGTCAGTTTTCTTTTTGGATTTTCGAGCCGATTGCTTCATTAATTCCATCTTCTCGCGCTCGGGGTCCATGGTTGGATCAGGAGCCATACGTAATCGGGCCACCTTGTTATGTTTCTGACCCACTGCGCGCACCAGCATACGATGTGTTTCGGACTGCATGCCCGTCGGTCGCAGTGTCATATACCCTGTGACTAAAGCTTCCGCTTGCAGTACCTCTGACCGTTTGTGTTGTGCGACCAGGTATGTTAGACCTTGAGACCTTGAGCTAGAAAGCAGGTTTTGTGACGCTGCTGGCTGGCTCTGTGATGGTTGTGACGGCTGAGTGCTTCCTAGTGATTGGCGTACGACACCACCGGACGTGTCGACAGTCTTGGTAATATCAAACAGCTCCTTTCCTAGTCTCAGGCTGAGAGAACCGTCGGACCAACGAATCACGCGACTATTTGATTGTCTTTTCTGTGATAGGGAGGTCAGGCGTCAGGGATTTGTGGGATTTGAGTTTACATTACTTACATCTTGGCCAAATTCATCTTTTGTCCATCGCCAGCGTACAGTGTTTTCGACTTTGAGTTTGATAGACATGCTCTTCTCACGGATGCTCTCATTGTGATGGCCATCATCCTCGTCGTGCTCTGGACCAATGTACGTATCCGGATGAAAAGGTTTTGAATCCATTTTTACAAAGTTTGGCATTCTGATTACCCAGTGCTAGGGAAATACAGCTTTCAGCGTACAGACATGATAATGAGGCGATATTACATACATCCCCATCTGAACTCTTTGGAACCGGGATGTTGGGAATGCGCACGTCAGCCTCTCGGACTTCTTCCACGACGATACCCGGCTCTTCAGGCTCCAGATATTCCAGCGCTTGTCGGTGCTCTTTCTCCGTCTGTGAGAGATCATCCGACTCAAATCCTGATTCAGCAGGGGTAACAACAGGGGCACTAGGATGATAGCAGTTGTACTCGTCAAAAAGTCCTCAAACATAGTGTATTTACCTGTCTGATTTCGTATCTGCAACGTCATGCTTTTCGTCTGCCTCGTTTCCAAAGAGGTCTTCCATTTCTTCCTCGTGTGCTCCGTCGTCAAGCACCCCTGAAATTGCGGCGATATCTTCTTCCTCCTTCGGAAGAACGTCAGTGCTCGGAGGCTTCATGTCCACATCTCGGTCATTGAATCCTCCAGACAGTGCGTTGGCAGGTAGTAGTTCGGCAGAAAAACCATGGCTGTAGCTTGCAGGCTGGTCCAAGGCACCAGCAAGGGATGACATATGGCTTGTTAGACCAAGTAACTTGTCCCTTCGAGCAGGAGTTGAGCTTAGCCAGGGTTTGAACTCACAAAACTTGTTCCAAAAAAGGGAATCATGTGCACTTGCTCATACGTGACACTCTGTATCCTCACATTCTGTGACAGTGACAATACGAATCCCTTCAGCGAGTATTTATCCATCTTTCCTTCATACTCTTATCTCCCAAACGAGATGAATCATTCAATATGCCTGCAGGGCACGGACTTGTTATTTGGGGCATTGACGTGTGGCGGGGCAGTTCAAGTGCTGTGCTATCAAGCCGCACTATACTGGAGAGAATTAATCTCATTGGCACCGCGGGGGCAGTTCTCTAGCCATGCTGCCACGATCGTGACAAACCAGCTTATTTTGGTGACCTCCCCGCAGCGCTCAGCCATGGCCTGGTTCTATTCCTAGATGCTCCGCGACTTGGACCTATCCGATGGAATGCCACTGTCACTTGGCCGTCTATAGACTTGCCCATTTCTGTTTGGACGTTTTCGTTTAGAAATCACGTCTGCCAGCGCGCTTACGAACTGATCAGTCAAGACCGCTGAATTTGATCTCACTTCATGTTCCCCATAGTATAATACGACCTGACTCCATGATCAGTATACTTGCGATTGTACTATTTAGCGGTATTGGTATAGGTCCCTTTTCACTTACTACGATTCACTAAGTATATTTCGTTATTCCGATAATCTCTTTAGAACGGGCGCTTCGGCCGCTCCAATCAGCCTACCCCTTGGCTCTGCACAGCAACCTATGGACTTGCTGTACTTTCCACATTCCATGTCATATAAATGGGGCTCTCAACCTGCCCATCCAATCTTTCTTGACATCATCCACCCATGACTGACACGCCTTCATACGACAGTTTCTCCAGCGTTTTCAATCCAGAAAATGAAGTGTGGGGCTTCGAGGAACAGCAGCGACAACAAATGTCAAGGGTTTCCTACTCTCTTACTCCTGTATGCATGTTTTTGTCTGCTTGTTACCTCGCTCACCACCGAAATATACAGCAAATGAGTCAAATGGATACGTATGACTATGCGGGTCACGTTGAATTCCCTGGCCAGTTTGGATTCAGTGTACCGTTCTCACCCCTTCAGGGCGCTACTAGGAATGGGCTTCCTCCCATCGATACGAAAGCTCTTGGTCTGCCACGGTTATCGATAGTATCTGATTCTTCTTCAACGACTTCAGCAGGGTCGATGATGCCGCCAACACCCTCTTACTCTTGGGTACCAGATGGTCACCTTCGCGTCCTCGCAGCTCCTGGAACACCATTATCTCCATCAAATATTCAATATCCTATATTCTCACCCTCAGTATGTCTCGATGAATCAATTACACTAATCATTTACAATCGATGTGTCAGAATCCGAAGGGCCTGTCCCCTATCCCTTCCCCGATGTCGCCCAATTCGCCCGCTGCTATGGGTAGTTCTGATGAGGGATCTTTGTTGCAGGCTTTCGACGACGACGAGGTTTGTGGCGATCAATTCAATTGGTGTACGCGTTAAAGGTGAATGAATACAGGAAGATGCTCCCCAACCAATGGAACATGTCGTAAAATGGAAGGCCATTCGTGATCAAGCGATTGTCGTCACAGGCACTACCGTCTACATCCCTCAGATAATCTATCAACCATACACAGAGGCGGATCGCGTCCGCTACATCGAGAAAGCCGATCTTAAGGAGCCTATCATCTTCAGGACAGCGCATCCCGACCAATGGGGTATAGCACTCGAGGACGCCCTAAGAGCTAAGATGAAAGATCTTCTTGATAAAGATGACAATATGTTCGAGAACTGCGGACCCTCTGTATCTATCCGACTTCAGGTATCCTAATTCCTCCCTGGCTCGATTGATTCCTCACCTTCACGCCTTTAGTGGCCCGGGTACCGTGCGTGGACAAAGCAGATCCCCACGATGGACTTCAAAAGTCCAAAAGGTCCCATCACCAGAGCTAAATTGGCTAAAAACATTGCAAACTGCGTGAAACGATTCATCGAAGTGCGTCCTACAGTCTTTATGCGTCATCTGTAACTCATATCTCTCTTCATCACAGGAAAAGGAAAAGGAACGTATGGAGATGGAAGCGGACCGTAGGTGGAGGGTTGGAACACGCCACATTAGGATGGAGGACCTTATTTTGGTGTCCCTGCACCACATCTCCAAGGGTAGCTGGCAGCCTCAGCTACGCCTACGCACTCCACTGAGCGAGATTCAACTTCGGCGCCTTCAAGCTCAAGCCTCGCATTCCATTGCATAGGCTCACAGCTATCCACAGAAGTGAAGATAATTCTTCATTAATCTCAATGCACGGTATGCGTTGAGTACCCTGGATGCCATCTGGATGACATCATGTCCCTGCCTGTTCCGCTCGAGCCTTTGGCACTCGCTTCATTTCTCCACTACCTCATTGGAAACGTGCATTTCGCTCTTTGATGTGTTTTCTCAAAATATGCTGGTTGTTTATGGAGTGTCATGTTCTAGATACGTTTTGCGCGAGCCCCTCGCTGCCGTTAGACTTATAACTTTTTAACGCTGGGCTTTCAGGTTTCCGTTCTTTACTCTCTCACCGTGCTGCTTGCTGTATAGCGTTACATTTCGCTCTAGGCTTTATTCAGTCTTTTCTTGGTGCTTTCCAACTATTTCGATAGCTATGAACACTCACATGACCTCAACAATATATTGTGTGTTACCCTCTACAGTTTACACCGTTTATATACATACCACTTGAGGGACGGGATTGGAATCATTACTTGGATATGAATTTGTGTGTCTGATTAATCTCCTGTCGACGGCTCAGTACTCAGTAGAGTCAGTACTGGTCAATTATTTAATGCTTGGGTGCCTGATCATGTTTGTTGTGAATGTTGTTGTCACGATGTTCACGAAGATATTTATGGTGCGTTTCATGTGCGTTTCATGATGATCATGTGTCGTTTTTTAGGCGACAAGAAACATCAAATAGAAGCAAAGTTATCTGCTCAGCCTCCGCCTAACGCCCATAACAAACCAATCGCTTTTTTGCTCTGTAGTCATGGATCTAACACAGGAGCTCCGATGCTGTCCAGTTTGTCGTCTTAATGATTCTCGATGAGGCAATGGCATCGACTCACATCGCTCTCACCTGCACTGCCAATGCACATCCAAAAATGCTCAATCGTGCACCTTTCATCCATCCTACTCTCTACGTCGGTCTGACTAGCACCGGGTGATAACATCATTAGTCGGGATATGAAGAATTTTGGTAAGGGTGACATGCTGCCAACTGCCAACTACAGTGGCCGTCTGATGCAAAACTTGCGCGCTACACTAGATCCATCATGCATCCATGATATTCTGATGGTTGAGCGCTGATCATTTGGTCTGCTGATCCGAATCTACCATCATGTGGCTATTTATCTTCCTCAAATTCACACAACTGTGCCATTATATAACTATATCTTCGCTGACCTACCTCTTGCTCATCTCATTTTGCTAGACCATTCCCCATGACGAGTGGCGCACCCCCATCCGACGCTTTTCCGGACCTTTGCAGTCATGGAGATCACAGCCAATTCGACACAGTACTGGGGAGCTCGGATTTCGGGCAGCAACAACAGCTGTCAGTGCCTCCATATTCTGTTACTCCTGTGCGTGTTTCCCTGTATGGTAGCTGCCTCGCTCACCACCGAATCATGCAGCAAACCAGTCACACGAATGAAAGTCGCGACTTTCATGGTCAGCTGCTATTTGAGCATCACGACGTACCATTTCCTGTAACTCACAAAGATGGTCCTTTGAGGAATGCGCTTCCTCGAATTGACACGAAAGCACCTGGTGTACTACTACCACAGATATCAGAAGATAGTTGTCTTCAGGTTTTTGTACCTCCAAGAGCTCCACCATCTCCATCAAATATTCAATATCCTATATTCTTACCCTCGGTATGTCTCAATGAACCAATTACACTGAGATTCATTGACAATCGATGTGTCAGAATCCGAAGGGCCTGTCCCCTGTCCCCTCCCAAATGTCACCCCATTCACCCGCTGCCATGAGCAACTATGACGAGGAGTCTTTGTTGCAGGCTTTTGATGACGACGACGAGGTTCGTACCAATTGATGCAATTGATATACACGTCGTTAAAGGTGAATGGATACAGGAAGATGCTCCTCGGCCAATGGAACATGTCGTAAAATGGAAGGCCATTCGCGATCAAGCGATCGTCGTCACAGGCACCACCGTCTACATTCCTCAGATAATATATCAGCCATACACAGAGGCGGATCGTATCCGCTATATCGAGAAAGTCGATCTTAAGGAGCCTATCATCTTCAGGACGGCACACCCCGACCAATGGGGTATAGCACTCGAGGACGCCCTAAGAGCTAAGATGAAAGATCTTCTTGATAAAGATGACAATATGTTCGAGAACTGCGGACCCTCTGTATCTATCCGACTTCAGGTATCCTAATTCCTCCCTGGCTCGATTGATTCCTCACCTTCACGCCTTTAGTGGCCCGGGTACCGTGCGTGGACAAAGCAGATCCCCACAATGGACTTCAAAAGTCCGAAAGGTCCCATCACCAGAGCTAAATTGGCTAAAAACATTGCAAACTGCGTGAAACGATTCATCGAAGTGCGTCCTACAGTCTTTATGCGTCATCTGTAACTCATATCTCTCTTCATCACAGGAAAAGGAAAAGGAATGTATGGAGATGGAAGCGGACCGTAGGTGGAGGGTCGGAACACGCTACATCAGGATGGAGGACCTTATTTTGGTGTCCCTGCACCACATCGCCAAGGGCAGTTGGCAGCCTCAGCTACGCCTTCGCACTCCGCTGAGCGAAATTCAACTCGGCGCCTTCAAGCTCAAGCCCCGCCTTCCATTATACATTGAAGCACGGAATACCCCACCAGGATGATACCGACGGTTTGACTCAGGCGTTAAAACTCGCTTCATGTCTTTCTTTGCTTTTCGATGTTTTCTCAAGATGCTCTAGTTGTTCTATGGAGCGTACGCTGCTATAGAAGTACGCTAGAAGTGCTTTACACGAGCCTTTCACGACTACTAGATTCAAGTTGATACTAGTAAGTAATTATTAGGCTCATCATTCTTTTTGTGTGAGTATCATTGTGCGATATTCATTCTATGCTTGCGTAATGCATTAAATTATTTGCCCGTCGTTATCTGTTGTGTAGTGTATTACGTTCATTGCAAGTATATGCGTGGACGTTAAAGCGCATCTTTTCTAGCTTGAAATCTGAAGACATCGTTGCATCGACTGAGGACTCCTAGTCAGACCCTGATTGAACTTTCTCAATTAGGCAACATCGCCCCCAGCGCGGACAATAAACCAAGATTCATTAAAAAAAATGTAAAACATTTGAAGTCAAAGCCTGGAATGCGACTGTGAAATACTATGCAGACGGTCTTGAATTGCATCGTCACGTCTTGTTGTGTACTAGTAGCGACGTTCCTCATCCTCTCAGATTCTTACACACTGCCTGCCGTCCATCAGATTCCGATGGTCGTGGATATTCAAATGACAGATCGCAACCTTTTATCGTGTATCTCTTCCAAGGCTCAGAACTGCATGTAAATTGCGCGGTTCACGTTGCTAGATTGCAGTCTTGCGGCCAGTATGTACTATGCCCACATCCGATGACACCCCTCCGCGCGGGCCAAATTCGTTGAGGTATGGAACCAGAAAGCGTACTGCCATCTGATATATTGACCTGTTCAACCCTTTCTTTGAGGTATCACCTTACCCGAGCCGCTTCCCCGCCGAGTCCCTCGAGAAGTTGAACGGAGTGTGACACGTTTTCTTGGTCGAACGAGAGCATCACGTACAAAATTATCTCCGCAGAGAGAGGAACATTACTCCCTACTTACTAGTCTGGAACTCAAGGAATGTCCAGTGGTACCCAACTTCAATGGTTCAGCCTACTAGGGAGACTAACCCTGGGCAGCTTAAGTATGCCGTTAATAGCTTCATATCCGTTGTGGAGTTGAAAGAGAGGGTGCCCTATTCGAACTATGAGCTTGCTGCCATCTTGCGAGTCCTGTTCCGGAATTCGTAACACTTGACGGATCAATCATGGGACACTGCCTGCCTGCCAAGTCACGTATGCAGGAAACCTATTTTCTGGTGACGTTTTGTATCGGAGATCAGAGATATCGTTCCAGAATAACCAGCAAAGAATTCTATCCCGTCATGAGGGTTTTCGCGCCAGTGGAGGAGACGAAGCAACTCTGCTAATATTAATTCTCTCGTCAGTGAGAAAATTGTACTTTATGTGTTCACGGTTTGAGCTGATTGATATCTAGAGTCATCTACTACAAAGGTAGATCTGGAATAATTGAGCTACCCTAGCTTCTGACTTCAGTCTCAAAGGTGTCATTTCGGGTCGACGGTATATCCGATATTCCACAAGCTGTGGGAGTTTTACAGCAACTTGAAGGTGATGGCCTTCCTAGGAGAGTGACTATGCGAGCTAGATCTGACAAATTCAAGCAATCACTGAACTCTCCGTGTCGGCATGAAATTTGACCGATGAGATTCATAAGAGACCACAGAAGTGATTGTCAGACGTAAGGTATTCATCATTCGTGTCCTTCAGCAACACCAATACCTTTTCTTTTGACAAGGTCACCACCCCAGAAGTACCCAGATTGTTGAGCGGCGGGATAATTTGGGTGGCTTCGCCGGACAATCGTACATTGCCTGGTAATGTCAGTTACTTCTTTCTCTTGAAATGTCAAATCTTTGAATCACCCATCCTCGAAGTCATTGTGTTCTGCAGGATTCATGGAACTGCCCCCGGGGCCTGCCTTAGAACCTTTGCTGGATTGGGATGCCCTTTCAACCCTCGTTAACACCTTCGACGGTCACACCGTACTAGCGGTGCGTGATGGTGAAGTGCAGCAGCACACCCCCCCGATGGATTCAACTGCAACCTCCAATACGGTTATGCAGGTGGTGAGTTTATGGTTTGCTGGGCGAGTCGGTGAAAACCCATTTTTTTTGTAGCCAATCCAAGCGGAGATCGCGCCATGGTGTGTTTCTGGCACCATGGATGGTATATACGAAGACTCTAGGAACGATCCCAATGAGACCAGCCAGTCTCCTCCACTAGAGAGCCAGGTAAGCTTTCTGTCTTGTGTAATCCAGTAAGCACTTACCGAAATTGTACAAGGATACCGGGGAAAGCAACCGCTTGAATTTCAAGAAACCTGTCGATGACTTTGAACAGGATTCCCAGCTCGCCATAATGCCGACTGAAACCGTTACTTACATTCCTCAAAGATTGTATCAGCCGCGAGGAAAAACCGAGCGAGAGAAGTATGTGCACGCGGCAAACTTATCCTTACCTATCGTGTTCTACGCAGAGAAGCCATCTGAGCTGGGTATAGCCTTGGAAGAGATTCTACAAAAAAAATCGAGACGTCTCAGCGATAGGGATGACCTAGTGTTTGAAGACGGTGGCCAATCTATCTCACTGAGAATAGAGGTCTGCCAGGAGCATTGTGATCCGGATCTCACGAGTTGATTGTGAGCTTGAATAACAGTGGCCTGGTTATCCTTCTTGGAATCGTCAGCTCTCTACCAGAGATTATCGCAAGACGCGAGGCCCAATCACTAAAGCAAAACTTGCGAAGAACCTTGCCACCTGCATACGCAGATTTACTCATGTGAGCCTTCACGTTTCCCTCTAATTATTTCCTTCGATGATTTTTTCAGGAAATGGCGACTCACCGCACTATGGAGGTCAACTCTAATCCCATGTGGAGGATTAGTCCCCATCACATAAAGTTTGAAGATCTCATACTCGTCAGTTTGAATCATGTGTCACAAGGAAGTTGGCAGCCTCAGTTACGACTTCGGCAACAGATGCGAGGAAGATCCAGCAGAACCTGATCCTGAGGTCAGTTTCATTTTGTGGGGGAGACGGCGTCTAATTCTCGGGTTCACTTAGACTTAACTTCCCTCACTGCCGAGACTTCGATTCCTTATCTCTTTCGCCATTTCAAATTTCCATCACATGCTTTCCGTCACCAGACTAAGATTTTTCGCAGCTTTGACAGCCACTACAAGTGTACACACGCCACGGGTTCGTTCTATTGCAAGTCGTTACACCTTTCTCATTCCAAAACTTCTTTTATATTCAACATGTTGTGCATTATGCTTTCCGTCGTCTTGTTTTCGTAGCCATCCGATACCCGAATTCTTAATCTACGACTCTGAACTTGACAAAGAGGATCTTCGCCGGCTTTTCGGTTCTCAGTGAAAGTCAATACATGCCCAAAATGGTAGGATGTCCTTATCGCCGATTTTTCGACCTCCAAGCGTTCTTCTATGTCGTTGTACTTTTACTTTCTCCTCAAGAGTAACTTTGCACAACAAAAGGAGGTTTCTTTTGGTCGTTAGCTTATCGCCCGCCACGTGTTGTACTATGGCATGGGTGACAAGGTTGGCCAGTTCTTATTCTGAAGGGAATCGAATGTTGTATGTATGACAAGGGTCAGGCCTCAGAAGTCTTGACAGACCCTTGTACATCCACCATCAGCCTCACATGCTTAACCTGCAACAGAAACGCTCATATAGCTGGGTGTATCTCAAGTCCATAACCCAAGCGTCCTTAAGTCTTCCTTGTGAAGATTCTGTTTACAACTGAGAGAACCGTCTCTCCGAGTCTTTCTTTTCATATCTTTCGACTCTATTGCTGTATTATTTGCCCTTGTGTCAATTTGCATATATTTCACTCCCGCCCATCATGAACCGCGGAACAGTCGCCATCGCTGTCGTGCAACACCAAGTTATGATCATACAGATTACACAAAGTAGTACGTACCCACCGAAACTACTCAAGAACAAATTTCTTACAAGTTCCCTACACAGCTGCCTCAGGCCAACCCCACCATCGTCGTGATCGATGGTTAGATGTATACACTTATGCGCCTTTTGGCGACCACCTGTTCTTGGCTTCGTCCGTCCCTCAGGCGCGCATCGCCGCCTCAGACCTTCTTACCGTCTTCCCGTTTCGCACCACCACCACAGACATGATTGAATTGCCTGCACAGGCGTATCAGGAATTCCTGCAGCTCCAAGCCAAGCATCAGAAGAAACAGGAGAATTTGTGGCGTGCCTGGAAAGCCAAATCACGCTAAATGTGGTCCGTTCTACGAAAAAAGTCGATTTATTTATGCGTGCTGTGGGCTGAGAAAGACTTGACGGAATTGCTTGTATTTTTAACACTATCATTTCTCCCCGGATTGTAGCTGGAACTAGATACCACCTCACATTGTGATACACACTGTAGCCTTAGTACTTGAAATCGAAATTGTAGCTCGGTAGAATTTTAACACATCTCGTCCATTCGGCGGTGTACAACAGATTATTGTGTGATCAACCCGTTATTTATAGTGGAGAAAGCAAGAACAACACAGAAATGGTGTAGTAGCATATGGAAATAAAAATATTGGTAAGTCTGGGTCACTCGGCCGCAGGCCAAGAACTATATTGGTCTGCAGCTAAGCAGCGAGGGTAGCATCTGGGTCCCTAAACACCTATGGACGCAAAGGGTCAGCGACGATCAATGAAAAAAGCAGCGGGCACACTTTTAAACTCCATATGTCTCCCACTTTGTCTCTGTCTTCAGAGTCCATGGCTTCATTTTCCTCTTCGTCTAACTGGCCGCCAGGAGAAGTCTGTAGCTTCAGTCCCTGTTCATTAGCAAGGTGCAGTAGACATATGAAGCAGAAGCTCGTGCTGATCTCTTCCATCTTGTCCTTCGGATACGATTTCTGTAGTCCAGAAATTACTGAGCTGAAAATTCTATGTTCTTTGGGGCTAGTAAGAGACGTGTCATCGACATCCTATTGGCGGGTGAGCAGAAAAGGAGGGGCGATTCGAAAGAGACAAACCATATTGTCGTCTTCTTCGTCCTCCTTCGGCTTCCCAACCTTAATGTCCAAGCCTTTCCAAATGTTTTCTTTCAGCTTCCTCACGTCTACCCGTTTGGCACGTTTGGCATAATTGACAAATTCTGGTCGAACCCGCCGCGTCTGACCTTGTGTGGCAGCCAAGAGGTCCTGCTCTCCAGCATCCTCCATCGCTGCACCATCGCCATCAAAACCATCGTCAAAGCCCGGGCCGTCATCATAGTCGTTGTCGAAGAACTGGGTATTGAAAGGTATATTTAGTCCATCGCCGGCTTGCGGAGCAATGAGTTTAGAACATATAAAGCCTGAATGCACAACATTCTTACTTTCATCATTTTCACCTGCCGCACGTTCCGCAGCTTGGTTCGCTGCGGCCTGCGCCCAAAATTGCTCATCGACCTCTCCGTCGCCATCCTCATTAAATCTGACGGGTTGTCCACGCATCTTCAACTGGGGGTGCGCAGATGTCAATTTATGTTGTCGCGAAAATAATTGCACGTACCGAGAATTTGGGCTTCAAGAACAGGGTAACGAGTTGCCTGCTTGAGAAGTGCATGTCGTCAGGAAGAGTATGTTCATCACGCTTCTCCTCCTTCGCTTTGCGGCCGCCCCGACCCTTCTTGCCAGTCTTCGAACCTCCGTAGCTGGGCAAAGTGATGCCAGCCCCCCGCGTGACTTTCGCAAACATCTCTTTTGCAATCGTCCTGATGTCTTTCTCGGCGGGCGTCAGGAAGTCGATCTTAAACGCTTCCTTCTTCTCTCGCCGAGGTTTGGGAGCATCAGCCTCTGCTGTAGCGCAACGTCATCAACATAGCATATCTAAATGAGCGAAGAACTCACGTTTCCGAACCACTTTCCTCAGCTTCCAGTGTTCAGGACCCGCCCAGTTTTTCATGAGGTTCTTATCGAAGTAACCCATCATCGCGTTTTCACCATCCGCGTCGGTAATGGCTATTACGCGATCTCGCTCGTTTGGCGCACGTCGTGGGTCGAAAGGAATAAATGCGCCTCCTGGTCGTACCGCATGCCGTTGATCACCTTCGGCGCCGACCGACTCATTCTCCCCACCCCCATAGTCACCCCCTCCAAAAGCATCCCCACCATCATAATCATCATCGACAGCTTGGTCGCCCTGGAAGAAATCCTGGCCACCGCGATCACCATCCACATCCATGGGTGCACCATCTGCGCCATAGTCTCCGAAGCCCGGATCATTGTCGTCTTCATCGCCACCTTCATTATCGACTGTATCGTCACGGTAAAGAGAGTCGTCAAACATACGGTTACTGTCTTTGGCAAACGAGAAGGCGGATAGTGAATGGGAGATCGCCTTATCGTCGAGGACCTCTAAGTCAGAAAAAAATTGACCTAGTATAATGGTGAGTATTTTATCATACAAGAGAACTTTCCAACATACTTCGTAGGTAACTGATATCCACATCTTCTTGCTGCTCCTCCTCATCCTCCTCATCTTCCGCCACTCGGCCCATAGAATCACTCGCGTCAAAGACGACGCGCATGCCACCATCACTTCCAACCCCCAAACTAAGGTGATTCATGAGCAAGCCCTGTGCGCCGCCCTCGTCGAAATCTTCGCAAGTTTTGCGGAAAAGGGGGTCAACGCGAAACTCGAGATCCAGCTTCTTGCTGTGAAGCTGTGAGGCGTCTTTAGCGAGCGTCGAGTCGGGTCGGTGCGATTTCTTCTTTTTCTTCGCCTGCGTCGCGTCTTGACTATCAGGATTGTCCGACAGGGCTTCATCGTCTTCCTCACCGACCATTCCTTCGTTGGCAAGGTTGCTGAGCAGCTTGCCTGTTTCAGTGCCAACAGAGTCGACACGACTAGTCCAGATTTTAACGCAGCCATCAAGGGTACATGAAGCGCGCTGGAAGTTGATGGAGTTGTCGACATTATTTCGAAGTAGTGACATATCGTGAAAGTAATCAATCAGCGCGAAGTTCCATGAGTTCGCAGCGTTGATTTTCTGGCAGTGATTATGATAAGCAGTAAGATCTAGATTAAACACGAATATACGCACATTGTCTGTCGCCATTTTCATCCATTCCTCAAAGTTGGAGCTCATGACGTCTAGGGGTACGTTGATGACAGGAGGCGGGGCCACAGAGTTGAGCTGCTGTTGCTTCAGCTTCGCCTGTGCAGCCTTGGAAGATTCTGCCTGATCATGACGCTCTGTCGAAGGCCCAGCTTCCGCGTTTTCTATGACAGCTAGCTTATTGCTCTTCCTCCGCCTGCGCTTCTCAGCCGCGTCGTCATTTATATTGACTGCCCTCAGTGGAGGGCGTCCAGATTCAGAGTGCGCTTCATTCTCGCCGGCATACATATCACTGATCCGCTTCTTGCTGCCCTGTCGAAGTGTTGGTCTTGGTCTTGGTGCATCTGGTTCAGTGTCACCGCCTGAATCCGAGCCATAATTTTCCGTATCTGCAATCCTGGCACGTCTGGTATTCATTTTCCGTTGAACTTTGTGTCGACCGTCCTTGACGCTTTCGCAAAAATGAGCCGTTTGGTTGCCGTCGTTGGTACTGTTCAACAAAAGATGATCAGTCCATTCTCGAAGCACGTGACACACGCGTCTTGTCACGGAGTCACCTAGTCACTCATCGCATGGCTCATGAATTTACTTTCACAGGACTCTGAAACAGTTCTAGCATTGTAGATTCGTTTATAATCCTCCTCCAATCATTATGATCATATTACAATAAATTATCCTGCCCTGGACAGCCGCATAGAATTCTCCGCTGCTGTTTAGTATGCTGTGCTTGATAACATTTAGTCTGACGTACGAAGAACAGGCTTCTAGACGCTCTTCGAACATCTTGCGCTGTAAGGCAGTGTTATTGAAGCGTCACGCGTCATAGATAAGCCAGGTAAGCGCGCTGCTTGTGGAAGATTCTGAAGGCAGACCAGAACTACACGTACCAGCCAATTTGGCCCACCCATGGCTAGTTAGTGAGCTCTCTTCGTTCTGAAGTGGGGAGGTGATACCACTAGGGTATCTTAGGGGCCACCGTAATACAACTCTAACTGCACGTGATCCGACCCACTTGAATTCAAACATAGACGGTCAACCTCACTTGCCTACCTACTTCGCGTCTCTCAAAAGTCTTGAAATATTGCTCTACATTTGCTGTACATTATGATTTTTGGAGACTTGTCTGCTTATGTATTCGTTGACGGTCAGGAGCTTCCGGAGTATGCTGCTGTTGTTTCCAGCACATCGACGGAGAACAGAATAACCTGCTGGATTGCATCGGAAGAAGGCAAGGTGTGTCATTCATCATATATACTGGCGAAAGCCTTAAATGCCTCCACAAGAAATTTGGAGTCAGGTGGATGAACGCAGCTAAGCAGTCCTGTGGCATCCAAACAGCTGTCTCCGTTGACGGTGTTCGTTGTGCTAGACAAACTGTGCGCCCGAGCTGGGTCGGCATAAAGGAATGCACGTACTGGGGCAGTGACTCAGTCACCAGAGATTTCATGTTTTCAAAACTTGAGCTTACTGGTCAATATGCTAAAAGAGTCTAGTTCCTCTTTCTAACACTAAACTTCAGACGATGACTCAATGCTCGGTGATCCAAGTTCGAACGACATAGGTCAGATCGTGTTGAAGGTTGCAACGGGGGAGTACACGAAGACGCAGGTAGTTAAACATGGTATATCGAAAAATCACACTCTCCGTGTGCAAGAAAGCAAGGTGCATGAACGGTCGAAGAAGGCGTGTGCTCATCGTGTCGTGTGCGTAGAATTTCACCCATTGTCTCACTCTTTGATAATCATCATCTGTTAAGCTTTGGGGACGAAGTTCCCCGACAAGTAAATTATCGGTCAGGTCGTCCCACATCCCGCACCGTGTTCAAACCGGATAACCGTCCTACGACTGTTTTCGTGTTCAAATATACACGCTTGGGTAGGTCACATTATTTTCTACGCATATATCCCGCTCACTCGTTTTCAATCTTAGACATTTTGCAGGCAATGGGCATAGCGCCATCGACATCAGATAGCTCAAGCAGGGAGGAGGCAAATGACGATGATGATGAAATAGAAATCATTGACGGACCATATGCGCCTTCAAGTTTGCCATTGCCCTTAAAGGATGTGAAGCCCCGAATTCAACATCTTGAGGTAAACTCTTGCCCCGACATCTTTCGGGCCTTCCACCTCATTCTTATCTCGCAGATGGAGCTCCAGCATTTACGCACCCAGTTGGCCTCATCTGAGGACCGGAAGCTCTCACGTGTTAATTTGAAATGCGGGGTTTCACGACGGCAGCAAACCACTATGGAGGTCCTCGATTTGACCGAGGATTAGCTTTCGTCTGTCCTCGTTCAGGTTCCGGCTTGTATGCCACCGCTCTGAGGTAAGCATTTGCTAGAGAGATTATCTCTAATGCAATTCAATTCCTAGGAACTCGATGTTTTGCAAGACAGGGCACGCTGCATATATTTTTTCTGTACAGCTCAAACTCATTCACACTACTATGGACACATGTAACAGTACTTTGCAAATATTGGAAGAAGACTTCTTAATCTTCAGGTTGTGGATTTACGCTCGTCGCTCATTATGATACTTTGTTGTATACTCACTGTTAATACACTCCATTTGAATCTACTGAATCATGCTTGAAGATTACTAGCTAAGTATATTGAGTCAACTACAAGTGTTCCATGCCGGGGAATACTCTTCAAGTTGGATACTGCACTGTACTAAGGACGAAGAATGCAGGTTCAAAGCGGTTCATAGTCGCATTTGCATCTTGCATTACATGTCGTGGTCGTCCAGCAGAGCTATTGACTATGTTACACCCTGAGTCAGGGGTTAAGATTGCAGTAATGTCTGGCAGTGAACATGGGCCAGAATCTCAACACGTCCGGGGATTCGCTAACATCGAGTACTGCACATTGTATATTGTATAGGCGACCGCGGTCTGATCCATCCTTTGGCCAAAACCGTCGGACGTTTGGATGCAGAGGACGTTGTGGCAGAAACAGAGCACGAATTTCCGCTTCCACCAAACGTGGAATGCCCGGAGGGTCGGGGGCAGAACAGGCAGAAGTAGAACATAGCAATCGACTCACCTGAGGAACGGTTGACCACTACGGCCCTCTAACCGGAGGTCTGTGTAAAATCCAACGGATGCTGCCAAGGCTGGCGCACAGTAGAGTGGGTTGGTCTTAGTAAAAGCAAGCTGTTCCTGTCCCCATTTCATAGACACTTTGCTTCAGATGTTTGCAGACAGGTAGCCGAGAGAAGGTAGTTGTCATAAGGAAGGAAGATGCTCGCGCACGGCTATTCCAATCGAGACCCTCACCCTGTTGACCGTCAGTGTCAGCTGCATTAAGCTTCCAGTAGTCAAGGATCAGACGTTTAACCCAGTGCCTGCAACCACTCTAGATCATATCAGGCGATATCACACTTGAAGGAAATATTGCTAGGATGATTAATGATACAAGAAGTGCAGAGAAACCAAGCGAAACGAAAAATAACGATACATCGATATCAACTACCACAGATCCGCATCAAACCGCTCGAGGACAGAGTTCGCATCTTCCACGTCCTTTTGTGCCTTCTTCCGCATGTAGAATATCGGGCAGTCCTTGCTCGAACATAGCACATCCTATCAACCGCAGTGTCAATGACAGTCGAAGTAAAACAAACATAACCTTACTTGATGCAAAGAGCCCTGACAACGTTGACATTGGGTCCACAGTCGCGAGAACCGTACTTGCAGCTGCGACGCGCTTGTGATTTGCTTTTGATATAGCTCCCCGATCTTTGGTCGACAGTTATTGCACACGGCACCATCTACAGCAAAGGCAGCAGTGAGATAGGATCAGGCGCTTGCTTGTTTAGGCTTACTTTTTATGCTGTTATTCGACCGCAATGGAGTTTTGCACCCAAGACATGTTACCGTCTTCACTGCGAACTTCATCAGACCGCCAACTGTTGGAGTTGCGATCTGGATTGTCCTGGTGTGTGCGCCAGATACTATGGAACATATCAAAAGACGATGTTCGTGCAGCCAATGAAGTAACTTACACAACGATGCTGCTTTCTCACCCAGGATGGGTTCAAAAATTCTCATAAGAGGATTGGAGAGCTGGTTTTCGAGGTAATATTTGGTGTCGATGGGAATGTTATTCTCTAGTACATAAAGGGGATCCTCGGATTTTTCGTATGCAGCAGCACCTATTCCCAAAGTCAGCATAGAGTTATGATACTTGACGCGTAATTCGACCTTTAATGCCCTTAACAATAACGTAGGCAACACGGTCACCCAAGGCCGGTGCAGAACCTGATCATGGATATCAGGACATATACCAGACAACTACATCAGTCACAAACCTGCATCACGTTGCCGCATGCGCTCTGCCAACTCCACATGCGCTTGCTTCGCAGCATAATCTGCGGACATTAGATCACCAGCCCATTCTCGTTCAAAATTCACATACCAGCTTTGGCTAGAGCCTTTGTAATCACCAGTTGGGACATATCGACCTTGTTCTGCAGAAGATCTGATATGATGCGCTTTGTGTACCTAGGAGGGTTGAGCTAGCAACCTAAAGACAAAGAGCGTATACTTACTCCTCAGCTCCTCTGACATCTCGATCGATCAACATCTTATGTAGGCAAGTCTCAATGACCGTCGATACTAGCCGACAGTTGTCTCTCCGGACTGTCTAGATTCCATAATTCAGTATATCCATGGTAAACTATTGAAGATGAAGACAAACTTCGATCCCCTTTGAGTCCATCTTGTCCCATTTGTCTGGCTTCGTCCAGTAAAGTCCAGCGTACCGCTTCTTGCTGATAAGAAGATATGGGTAATAAACTTTCTCGAATTCGAGCTTGATAGGTCTGACAAATTTTGCCGTCACAAAATCCGCCGCCTCCGCTCCTGTAGAATACTTTGAATCGCATGCAAGTTAGATTACTGGTTGGTGCTAACCGAGAGCCATGACCTTTTCCAGCTCCGCAGGTCCAAACTTGACCATGACAGAGTCAGTGTCACCGTAAATTACTTCGGCATTATAAGCGTGGCCATTATTGATGGAGAACTCTGCTTCAACTTCCTACAAAGGGTCACTGGTCAGGTGTTGACTGGCGGACAGACTACGACTCACCTGCTTAGTCTTTTCGATCATCTGACGCCCATATGCTGTCACACTGGAGGAGATAGGAAGGCAGGGCAATTTTCCAATCGTCGCACCAGTGAATCCATAAACAGAGTTGGCACTGATCTGGAATTCAATGAGATCAGATAGAGTTACTGTACTAGCTCAATCCATAGCACCTTCAGAGCAAGCTGACGACCGTCCAAGACTGCACGCTTGGATGGATCGGTTTCCTTCTTGAGATCTGCCTTCGCACGCTTACGAGCAGAAATCAAATCTTCCAAGACAGTGGGTAGTAGACCCTTTCGTTTTGCCGTGGTAGCAAAGAAATCTGACCAGAGGCATTAGCCGATTGATCTGCAAACTGCATACCCAACAGCTCAAACATACCGTTATTGGGGGTTTGGATATAGTCTAAGTCCTTGACAAGCTGCAAGCGGTCAATGGTACTCTTTTCGAGGAGCGTTGTATAACACAAATTATGTGCCATCATGATAGACGGATACAAAGAACTGAAATCAAGAGTTGCAATCGGTGTGTCGTAGTAGCCTTTCTTTGGCTCGATGACAGTGGCGCCTTCGTATTGCTCATCCGAACCCTCGCCCTTCAAAACAGGAATGACATATCCCTCTTCGTTGGCCTTACGAAATAGCTGGGAAAGCACCTTAATGGACTGGCCACGGGAGAGGAGGTAGTTGAAAGGAACGCCCGTGACACGTGCCATTTCAGTGTAGTTGATAAAACACATAAGTTTGTCCACCAATCGCTGGGGGAGATATGCATCCTGTAGCAACTATGAGAACAACACAGACGACGCAAAAAAAATTCGATCACCTTCAAACAGTAGACGGCCAGCCGACGTCTGGACTCTGGAGTGCCATTCTGCAATTCTGTGATAACGGAGTGGTGCACATCCTCCTTTTGCTCACCCAGGAACTGTGCACAAACGGAGTTGAGGGTATAACTACGTAACTTGTGTTCACGTTGCATGAACTGCAAGACGTCGAGTTGTAGTCGACCTTCTAGCTCTGTATCTTTGGAATCGCGCTGCCCGTATGCCTTCGAAGAGAAATGCGTTTCCTTCGTCTGAGTTTTGGAACCTTTAAAACAAAATTAATATGATCTTATCACAGCAAACAGAGATGCGTACCCTTCATGCGACCAAGATAAGGGAACTTATTTGCCTTGAGATGCTTTGCTCGATCCATGAGATATGGAAAGTCGAAGTTTGCAATGTTGTACCCGATGACAAGATCTGGGTCAACCTCTTCAATAAAATCTCGCCAGGCCTGCAACATCTCAGCCTCATCGTCAAACGACATCACTTGTGAGCCGACAATATGTGAACACGTATTCAAGGTGAAAATATTGCGAATGAACGGCTTGGTCTCGCCTTGAAATCCAGCGATGAGCGAATATACAGAAAAACCTTCAGATTTCATACCTTGCCTCGTCACCATGTTAGCGATCTGGATGACTGGATCAACCTGTGCCTCAGGGAAAATGCCCTTCCGTCCAGCACACTCGATATCGAAGCTCAGTATACGAAGAGGTGCAAACTTCTGCCAGTTTTCTTCCGGTGGGTGCGAGATGAAGGCATCCCACCTGGTGTAAAATTTCATCAGACATTTATATATACGACAAAACGGAGTGAAAATTACCTGACTTTAAGCTCGATTTGACATGTGGATTTCTTGTCTTTCTCGGACACAAGTTTGTATTGACCGGCAGGGATCTCAATCCAGTTCATGCCTACAACCTGCAGAAGTGTCATTTCAGAATTCTTGCGACACGTGTATTCATACCTTGGTATCAATCATGAAACGCAGGGTGTACGCAATATTACTCTCGAACGTTGAACAAGGTTGTCCGGTTGGGAAGAAGTCTCGAAACCCACACTCGCCCCTCTCAAACAGGCGTATTGGTCAAAAAAACAATAAGTACATGCAGAAAGCGTTGATGGAGAACGAAACTCATCTCGAATTTTCGGAAGATTTCTCGGTTCGGATATTGTAAGTTTCATGAAAGGGATCCAGTCGTCTCCACGATAGCCCCAAAGGCTGCGCCGCTTGACGATCTCTATTTGCCTCACGAAGTTGCCTTGAGCCTGTTTCTGTAGGCGAGTTCAGCCACGGTGTACCTTGCGCATAACTATGATGCATACGTTTAACTGATCCGCAAATGCATCCATGTCCGACTCATCAAAGCCGCGAGGGACGGCGACATAGAAGTAAGGAAGGAAACCGGTGACATATGCGAGCACGCTGTTTCCGTCCTGCAAGGCTATTTGAGAGCTGCGTGAAGGCGCAAGTATAAAGGAGGTACCTCGGTCACCCCAAACAACCTCAGTACGATAGACCCATTGCTGTAGTCCGTTGCTTCGTCGATATCGATTTGCTGAAATACTGTAAGGGGTAGCCCCGTAAGTTGGTGAATGTGAGGCAACACGCGTACACACCGATACTATTCCGCTTCTCATTAATGGAGGGAAGATTGGGACGGGCCCAGCTATCAGCCCCACCCTCAGCAGCTGTTCAAACTATCAATAATTAAAGTGCTG